TGTGTAAAAGAAGGGATTACCTCTATTAGCAGCACAAACCCTACAAGCACAGGTTGTAATTCCCAATTATCCTGCTTAGTAGAATGCCAGAAATCGTCTAATGGGCCTGAAAGGGAAAGGGTAGCTGCAGCTGCTGCGGCTCTTTCCCACCTGACATACATTTGAGATTGTTGGCCATTTAACCATGGTGTTTCTAACTAAAAATATGTCACACTACACATCCCCTACTAATTCAGGTACCACAGATAGTACAAATCTCTGTAAAATCCATCCTGCTTCTCATTAGCAACGCTTAGTTGCTTAATATACTGCATTTGCAAAGGTTATTGCTTATTGGTTATTTTACCAAATGTGAGCTTGTACCAACAAAGCCTGCAGTCGTGTGTGCCACACAGCACGTCCCAGGCACAGTGAGCAATGTCAGAGGCACAGGGAAGCAACCGCGGTGAAAGCTGAGAACATTCAGCTGTGCCTGTGCACAAGGCTGGCTGCAGGTGCAAGTTTATCCTCCTGGAAACACACAGCATTTTCACCTCTATCCAGTCTCACACCAGATGCATCATTCAGTGGACTGCTGAGTCCACATGGGCATCCTCAGAGCTGTATTTCTCTTTGCAAAGCAAATTACTCCCACAGCAAATCCTTATGCATTGACAACTGGGCAATGTCTGATATCTGAGTCAGATCAAGAAATGCTCTACACAGAACTTACAACACAGGTATACTGTGACATTTTTTTCCTTTATCTTCTTATGAAAAATCTCCTATTGAGAAAATGGGGCCCTCTACTCTCTTCTGAAAAACTTCTAAAATGTGGAACGTGGTGAATTATGACAGGAACAACCAAGTCCATACGCAGTCAAACGAGACAATTCCACTCAGTAAAAATTCACAGATATAACATTTAATGAAGCAGTCTTTTGTTCTGCTGCAACAGAGCCAATCATTTCCACAAGAATGGGCGCAAGGAAAACATTTAATGCAAAACCTGCTCCAGGATAATGAATTTTCCTACCAGATGTCCTGACTCCTCTTAGCCCTTCTGGGCATCACTGTACTTCATGACCACCACCCTCAGCTTTCAAAGCCAGACCTCTGCAGCAAGCAAGCTGCACATCCCGTCACCCTGCTGCAGCAAGCTGTGTAACAGCGCTTGGCAGAACTGCCTTCCAGCATCCACGAGCAGTTGTTTGATCACAGTGCAGCAGCCACGGCGGGCACGGGTCACTTCCCTGCACTCTGCTGCCCTCTGCGACGAGGCTGATAACTTCTGACAGCGATAGGCGCAGCGGTGACCGACCGCTGTGCAGATGATGTGGAATATAAAGCAGGTTCTGGAGCTCGGTGTCAACCACCATTTCAGCCAGAGGCAGGCTCCATTTTGGTCTATGTCATTAAGAACAGATAGACCCATTCACAGGGCACTTAAAGGCCATAAAAATCAGTTTTAAATGCATAATTTCGTGGTAATATCACTTATTGTGAAAGAAGGGGAGTGTTAAGTGCAGCCATAAGAGTTCTCCTTGCTAAGGGAAGGCTGCCTTTTGTTTTAAAAGAAGAAACAAGGACACACACACAAAACAACAACAACAAAAAAACACTGTCTTGCTCCCCCTCAAGTAGAATCTGCTCTTGTTCCATATACATAAATGGTAAAATTACTGCTGGATTCCTTGAGAGTCTTAAGTGCTACAGCTATTTACATACCAACAAAGACGCTTCTGCATTAACAAAACATTTGAACAACATAGGAAATTGCACAGAGGTGGCTGACAGAGAACAAAGAACACAGAGGCAGAATAACAACTAATGCATGGGAATTTCACCACACGCAGAAAAACATTACGAACGTTTTTAGCAAATGCCAGAGTGAAAGATTTTCCAATAGCTATACGATTTAACAGCAAATGATCTCCTGAAAATGGGAATAAACACAACAGCTCCAACTTAACCGTTTTAACACTGCATGCAAAGCTAACTTGCAAACAGTCACATTTCCAAATGCCTAAATTAGATGTTACATAACTGTCCAAGTGTAATCCAAACTTTCCGCTTGAAGATTCAAGGAAAGGGCAAAAACTGTAAATACATGTGTGTATGTTAAATAGTGAACGTGAGCAGCTAGCCCAGCAACGAAATCATTCAGATGTAGTTTTAACAGTTGATATGAATTCGTTTAATTTCCTGGATAGAGAATCAGAAATTAGTGGCTGACATCCCCATAGAGAACAAAATATTTCAGGCAGAACGTCAGCCCAAGGCCAAAGTCTAGCAAGTAAGTATTGCTATGAATACTGCTTCCTTGAAAGTTACTTTGCCAAACCAATCCTTTCAAAGGTATATTTTCTTTGCTGCTCTGTTTTTGTATTTGGAATCCCAAGCTTGTTACCGAGAACTAAAGAAGCAACTTTATATGCACTTTCTTTTACCAGAAAACGAAACTCCTGGGCCCGGCAGCGCAGAACAGACAGGTACCAGCTCTGCAGGAGCAGCTTCCAGCCATGCCCTCCGGTCAGCCCCCGGGCGCCCTCCTCGTAACACGCACCAACACAACTCCCACCGAGCGCCCAAGGTGCTTTTCTCCAGTAAAGGCTGACAGAGATGCCAGGAGGCTGCGCTCTCACAGGTTAAGAACTGCTTCACAGCACAAATACCGAGTGAAAACTTTGTGAGATTTCGTAAGAGGTACTTCTGAGCCCGACCGTGCAGCTGCGCGCCTCGCTGAGAAGTGACCCGAGCACGCGAGCAGCCGGAGCACGGCGCAGCCTTTGCACTCCGCAGGTGCCTCGCGCTGAGGAAACCGTGAGAGATTGGCACCCAAATCACAGCAGCTGCTGCCTCCTTCCAAACATCCATACATCGTGAGCTTGCCCTGACTGCGCCATCATTACCATGAGTTGATTTGGACGCCCAGCGAGCAGTACAGGCTTTTTTTTTTTTTTACGGTGATCACACCTTGCATTTTGCAACGGCAGGCTGAAGTTATTGCTCCACCGCCTCTGGGCGGGGAAGCGCCCTGACCTCCATACCGGTCCCCCCCCGCCCCGGCGGCTGCCCCTTACCTGCTGCCGCTGCTGCCCTCTGCCGGCGGCCCCGGGCCGGCGAGGTGAGCCCCGCTTCGTGCCGCGGCCACACGCGGGCGGCAGCGCGGCGCCTCCCCGGCCGGCGGCCGCCTCGTGCCGCCTCGTGCAGCGCCGCGGGACCCCGCGCCCGCCTCGCGCGGCGGCTCGGGATGGGCAGCGCGAGGCCGGCGGGGTGCCGCTGCGCGTGCTGCCAGCCGCCCCAAGGAAAACGAATGGGAAATACAAGTCTCCTCTAAGCGGCAGTGTTTTTGAATAAGTATCAGCGGGTTTATGAAGATTAGGTCGTTAATGGAATTTAGCTGGGGAAGCCACTCGTTGCCCGGCGTTCCCCAAGGGTCTGGCCGGAATCCAGCCCGCAGCTCAGCCGGGGCCGTGAGCCAGAAACGCTGCTCCTGCGTAACGCTACAGCCCCGCTCGCGCCAGAGGGATTTTTTTTAGTTGCTGAGATCGTCGTGCAGCTACAAAACGAGCCCAGGGTCGGGACTGTGTGCAGGAGGAATGCAGCAATGCTTTCCCCCTTCGCACTGTCTGGATCGGATTGCAGGTGCAGCCAGCCTGCTCTCCCTTGTGGGCCATGCACACTTGTTCTCAGAAGCTGGCAAGAAAATCTGAGATTACGCTTATTTTATGTATTGATCTCCACATTGTTAGGAACACAGCACCACATTAGGAAAGGTTAGCAGAAATAAATTAAGTAACATCAGACATGCACCAACCATCTGGTCCACTTTTGTTCTTACTGAGTGTTATTTTTTCTAGGTCTGCCCATAGGAGATCTCTTTCCATTGCCAGAGTACTCTGTACAGATTGACCTGTCCCAGCACTGCCCTCTGAAAATACTGATCAAAAGAAGTTTAAAACAGAACAAGAACAAAATTAAAAAAAAAAAAAAAAAAAAAAAAGTCTCATGTGAGCCTGCTGGGGCAGGGTTCAGTCTGAGTTTGGCAAGCTAGACTGGAAGCTGGTTTTCCCTCTATGACCCACAGCAGAATACAGTGGAAGCCTCCTCCAGGAAGAGAGATGTACAGCTTTTATTGTGTGTTACAGATAACCACAGTACGCTTTATCGGTAGTCACTGTATGGATCTAAAGAGATATACAATTATTGTGAATATGCTATATTACTAAACTAGTACTACCATGAAAATGAAAGCTCTTTATCAGACTAGAAGACTACTTATATCTGGCTTATCTCAGAGGTTTGTTAATTGTTTACAAATATTTTTGCTGTGTTGTATCCTGCAGTTCTAGAACTGATGGATAACAACACAGGCATCAAAAGTATTACCAAAATTCCCAACCTGATATACATGCTATATCTAAGGCATAAAACATTAAGTTCCAGACAACTTCAATTCTCAAATCTCTTAAGTCTCTTAAATATCTCTTAAATCTCTGGATATTCAAAGTGCTCTAACATACTTGCTCCTGAGGACAACTTCCCCCCCATGTTATTTTTTAGTGTCTACTTATGAGGGCTGCACCAAATGTAATGCCTCCTATTTTATGATGTTGGCCACGATATCAGAGTTGGGTGGTGGGATGGCAGTAGAGGCTGAACCTTCCCAGTAGGTATCCCGTTACATTTTGTTGCTGTCTGACAGAATGGCATCTGACATGGAAGTGCAGATGAAGCAAAGGTGCATCATTGAATTGGTTCCCATTGCTATTCAACAACACTTGGTAAGCATATACGGACACCAAACAGCGGATGTGAGAACAGCAAGGCAGTGAGTGGTGTGTTTCAGCAGTGGTGACAGCAACACGAAAGACAAGCCACGTTCTGGACAGTCATGCAGACTTCTGTGAGTGAGACATGCAGGCTCGTGTTTATCACCAGTGAAAATGAATAACTAATGGTGGTGACTACATTGAAAAACAATCTTTTGCAGCTGAGAATTTGCTCTATCTGTACCATTATTGTGCTCTTTGTCTTTGTTGCCATTTCCATGGAAATAAACAGGAGGCGTTACTTTCAGAGCAACCTACATAAAATTCACTGATAATTTACAAACACATTTGCAGTTTTTATTATTGGAAAGTAAACACATCTTTGGTAAATATCTACTACTTTGTTCTTTACTTAGTTTAAAAACTTAATTCATTTTTAAATCTAGGTTAATTCATTTTAAATAACTATTTATATAATGAATAAGGCTTATATGGCACAGTGCTGAATGAGATGAATGGGACTACATAGCAAACCTGAATGATGTTTTCAGGTTACATGTCCTGTTAATTCTACATCCATGCCCTGGCTCAGTTTCTTTTAGCGCTCTTCAGCCAGGCCCAGGAAGCTGAATCTGAATGAGAGCTTTCTAATGAATTATATTTCCAACATTTAAAGGTGCCACAAGTCTAGAAAATACTGTCTAGTTAAATGATACAATTCAGTACATACTGCAGAATGTATGTTAAAAGCTACAGCGAACCAATTAGTGTAAGACTGAAATAATGTATTATAGCTGCAGTATTTCCTAAAAATGTCTGTTTCACCACTTGTGCAGTAAAACAGAAAAAATACTCACTATGCATGCTTGTACAAGTTGTAGGTGACTGCTTGCTCCCAAAGGCACAGGCCACAGTTAATGTGAATGAAAGCCTGATAACAAATATTGGCTTCTGTATTATTACAAAAATCCAATTAGAAACTGAATGCCTGAACTGGTATTTTTACTGATTGCATACAGAATTTCTTCACTTTTTCTGAAAGATACTATAACATGTCCCTTAAGAAGTGTAACAGCTTTAAGCAGAGCCTGTAATTTCAGAGGAGAAATGTTTGGCTTACAGAGTTTTGGGGATTATTTTAAACATATCCAAGAAATGGTAAGGTTATTTTTAATAATAATTACAGTTTTATTGTTCTACTACAGTTTTTTATTCATCTGTCTTTTTAAAGGCTCTTGTCTTACATTTGAGACAATAAATAGCATACTTTACAATAAATAATATTCAACTCAAAAGTATTGTATGTAGAAAATAATATAACGCTGTAATAGGATCTTCAAGATCAACTCCGTCTTATATATTCTGCAGCAAAAATAACATTTCTAGTAGGAAGGAATTACTTATAAACCTAGCAAGATCTACACATTCACATGTGTGTAAACAACTTAACAAGGTTTATTATGCTTCCAGAAAAGCTTTGCTTTTACAGTAAGTTTTAAGCTAAATGTTATCATAATATGGTAATATTATATATAACAGTGTTGTATTAAGCTCCATCACAAATTTAATCTGAAAATAAAAATGGAGTGCCATTATTTACAATGAAAAGTAACTTGTCCTTCACAGGTGACTGTATCTGCGTGTGAACAAAACGTTAGGGCGAGGCATTCCAGATGAACTGCAGCTGAGGTTGGACGAGGATGATTTCATGATGAACTGCGGTGGTCCTGGCAATAAACACCTATGAAAAATATAGCAGAATTTATAGGTAAAACTAAGATTTGAAATTGAAGCAATTTGTTGTTCATGTGCTTACTTTATAATTGTTATATGCAAGAAAATACGTATGATAAGCACTATTTATAACACATAAGGAATACTAGGCAATGAATAACTCATGAAACAGATCCTAAGGTCAGGGACAGGTTAGCAGAATTTCAGGACGTTGTATGATAATCAAACATCTTGCCAGTTCTCAATGTTTAAAGCAAGGAGGTAAATAAAAACCGTGGCATCCTGTGCAACACTGCCATCCAAATTTAACATTTCACTCATTGTCATTGTTATTATAGTACTATTTGTTCAATTTAAACTGGGTAAAAATTGGAGTTTATGTTAACTAGATTATTAAAATTTAAGTTGTTAAAAAAATTTTATTAGGAAAAAAAAACAATTTCTCAGCTTTGATTTCCTGCTCTCCTTTCCTAAAAATTGCCATGCTATCATCACAATTCTTGTAAAGCAAGAAACAGTGATGCAACAACACTGTGAGTCACATGATTTATTCTTTTATATTCATGCAGCTGTATTGTTTGTATTTTATATAATGCTATAAAAGTGATTTATCATGTCTAATACTCATTCTTAAATCTATTTTTATTTTATCATTTACTAATAGTTGCAGAAATTATTAGGTGAGCACAGTAACTGCAGAAATAACATCCACACGAAATCAGAGCATTGTAAAGAGTTACGTCAGTGTTAGGATGAATTAACACAACACATTATATAAATTATTGCTTAAAAATCATTGCATCATTCTACTGAGTCATATTGATTAATGATGAATAAGTTAGAGGATTGATCTTACGAATCACGTTATTATCAAAATGTTATTATTCTTTTATTTTCATCAATTTACAGGGAAAAAAAAGTCTGATTTGGTCTGGGCTGGTGATGTGTTTCATAGCTCAGTATCTCACCAGACTGAGTCCTATGTTTTCTTGTTGATACAGAGAACAGCCCTAATGCCTGTCAGAGAATCTGTCATAATGCCACTTAGCAAGCTGTAAGGATTTAGTAATAGATGGTATTTTTCACATTTCTTACATATTCTAACATCAGTGAATTTATAAAAATGTGAAAGGTCTGGCACTTTACACAGATCATTTCTTGGCTATTATCTGAAGAGGTTTTGGTATAGCTTTTGAGTACTCTCATTGTTTTCTTTACACTTAATGTTGTGCGGAAAAAAAAAGGCATTAACTCCCATTTACATTAATACTCCTATTCATTCTCTCCATCACATAGAGTGGATGTAGAGTTGGGAGCTGGGATTGAGAACAAATCTAAAAAATGGAAAGAAGAACCCCTGTGGTTTTCATTACACCCTTTTTCTCTTTCTATGTACAAATAGATTTTACCAAATAAAGGAGCATCTGCTAACTTTGAAAGCTTTAGTCATCAACACAAAACAAAAAGCAGTGTTTTGGTCAGAAAAAAAAAAGACAAATGGAGTTCTTCAGGTTAGATTTTATAGAGCCTTGAAACAATGACTTTCTTGTATATTTATTAAATTATCCTCTGATCTCTTGCACCTGCAAAATTTAACCATTAGTCAAAAAAATCATTAGTGGTAGTGCAGCTTCTTATGTAATTTAAGAACAGAAACTTAGATGAAAAAATACTGTATTTCTCCCATTTCTAGAAATAGTAGTTCATTGCCTTACATGTTGTGGGACACAATAAGTAAGAGCGTTTGTTTTCATACGTATCTTTCATTTCACAAATTCAGAATGTCATAGTTAACTACCATATTTTACCAGGTCCTAGATTCCTCTAGCTTGCAAAAGTTTTGAATGAACTTCCATTCAGTGTCAAAATAAACACAGAAACCAGAGATGAAAAAAGTTTTGTTGGGTCATCCATCCCACCTCTTTCCAAATACAGGATTGTTAGCTGCAGTACATTAGAGTAGTCCGATCAGTTTGAATAGTTTGTGGTTGGTTATAATGAAAATTTTTCCGCAGTATTAACAGTAAAAGCAATAAAAACTTCAAGCCTGAAGATTTTCTACTCTGAACTAAACCAAATTACTTTACCGTACTCCTGCTGCAGCTCAGTAATGTCGATATTGAATAGGATTCGTTTTGTGGCTAAGGTACTTCGACTTTTGCTGTGACCGAACAGATGCAGTTTTCAGTTGGTTTTAAATTGTTAGATCGCCTTTAGATTTATATGACAATAACAAATGAGTTTAGTATATCAAATAACTGGCCTTGGATATATCAAGTACACAATTAAGTCATAAATTTAACAGATAATTTATCAAAGTTTTTGCTTTTCACATGATATTTAACTCGAGAAACTCTTCTGTAATATAGCGTCTGTGACATGTTTCATATAAACAAAGTTTTTGTATGTTTATATACATAATAATTCAAATTGCCATTATGGATAGAATTTGGAACCTAAGTAATCTTAAACATGTTTAATTTTCCATCTAAAGTTGTTAAATTACAGAGCATTGACTCCCACATTGGGAGCATTTTCAGTGATCCCCATACTGACAATATGATCCTTATTGTATCCAGTTGAAAAACTAAACCAGCCAATGGAGAATCGGGTAAGTGCCAAAGAGGTTTTTTTTTTACTATATGATGCTGTTTTGCAAGGTTTGAAAATATATTTATGTTCTGTGAGATGAAATAATAAAACTTGAAATCTGTAGGGTTTGTAAATCAACTTTGCAAAACTGTGCAATACAGTAAATCAGATGGCACTTACCTGACCCTTGGCTGGAGCTGAGCCCCTATAGCATCCCACTGCGAATGTCAAGCCAGAAGTATCATACATGTTAGGATACCTCTAGGAATGCAAATCTGGAATCAATGACTTTGAGGGATCTGAGAAGTGGAAGAAAGGAAATTTTCAGTTCACTTTACAAAAAGCCTTTGCTGCAGCTACTTGTGCAGTAGGCAATCAAGACTTTAATAATTGTAGTTTCACACAAAATCTAAATACCTAATTTTTTTGGAAGCACTTCATGAGGGAGCTAGAGAGCTCCAAATGGTTTTCATTTTCTATCAAGGGAACTGGGTTTTGTTTTTTATTTTTGCCTTTCTCGTTGTTTTTTTGTTTGTTTGTTTTGTTTTGTTTTTCTTTTAATATTTAGTAAACTAGGTTTAAAGGGAAGTATGGCAGTAATGGCTTATATTAATTCTGTCCCAGTATTATCTTTGATCATTGTATTTTAGGAAGAGAATACTGAAATGCATACCTTGTATCATCCCAGCTAGGACTAATTCCAGTCAGGGATCCTCTTGAGTCTGATGAATATTTGTACACCACTAGCAGGCAGTGCTTACAAAGCTGTACTATTCGTTGGCAACACTGGAGTTGCTCAGGAGTCACCACCTCTGTGCTTTTACTGAATATGGTTTCCCAAGAGTTCCTGTTGTGGAAACAGATAAGACTTCATGTTTTCTGCAATCTGTGAGCTTTATTCCTTTATATCAGATTTAACAATAGAGGAACAGGAGAAAATGCATTAACATGCCTGTTTACAGAAATGTTCTATACTATTTAACAAATAATTCAAATGCTGGGAGACCAAATACCATATTAAAAAGTTAATTTTCATATGTGAAATCTCCCAAATCTATTTTTCATTTGAAATGTTCCTTAAGCATTTATAGGGCTATTACTTAGGTTTAGCACATAAAGATTCGCTGTCACGTAATTGTAGATGGTGTCTTATAACAGGAATAAGAAAAATCACTATTTTTAACAGGCCACCAGCTGAATGCAGATCTGATGTGATATTAATAAAAGCAGTATGTTATTTCTAAATCTCTCCACAGCACAATAATACTTTAAGTTCATAATACCAAGAAATTAATATTAAAAGAACATAAAGGAGATTAGCACACGTTCTGCTTTCTTGTCCAAATAAGAAGAAAGTTTTTAAGTTTAGTCATTAAAATACTACTTATTATCCCATCTGGCCATATGGAGGTGGTCTTCCACTATTTAGTGCAACTTATGAGGTGCATGTACAGAAGCTTTCTTTTATAAATGCAGACCATCATACTTTTGTTTGTTTTCTTAAAAAGCCATTTCCCTTTCAAAAACAATAAAAAAAAATGAAAAAATAAATGATAAAATGTATCTGATATGTTTATTACAGAAGTTGATATTAATTTTAGTATATACACTAACACTTGTGTTTGTGCCTATGTTACGCTCCATGCAAAAGCCTGATCAGATTACAGACCATTTTCTATGTTTTAAAGGCAATGTGGTCGCTGTTAAGGCCACTTTTTCATCAAAACATTTCCCAGTATCACAGATGGCATTGTAAGCTTGATGCTTTTTACTTGGTTATTAAAGAAGCACTTCAGAGAGTGAGGAAAATTTGCTGCATCTATTTTTTGGGATCAACATGGCATTTGGGATGATTTACCTTTTCCCACTGAGATCAGTAGTAGACTTTACATCCCTGAGGTAAGATGTTTGTTCTTAAAACAATGGATTTTAGTACACATCAAAGAACCAGCGTGCCTTCTTCAATCTAATGAGATTTTTTTTTTCTTAATTGCAATGTATTAGCATGCAATTATGAATATTAATGAGTAAAACAAATCACATATACCTGATTTTTCAGCCTGGATTCCATGTCTAAATAGTATGTGCAAGCTGAAACTGTTCAGTCCTACAAATTTTCCATTGCATATGTAATTTTCAACTGACAAAAGTATTTATCTCATTAATTCTTATCTATATAATGAATTAAGAAAGATGTTTTCTAAGGCAAAGGTGTTTATTTAATAAGCAGAATAATTATACTCCTTGAAGAACTGCTTTTCCTTAATGTATTTTTCTCAATATTGTTCCCTGACCATGAAATTTTCACATTTACTATTGCATGAAAATTAATCTACTGTCTTTATTATTTCCTTCACCATGTGACATCTGGTGGAAAGGAGCAAAATGAAGTTCTATGTATTACATTCATTCACCGGATTCACAGTGTTACACATAATTATTTTCTAATTCAACCCATAAATCTCCAAAATCTCCTGCTAGAAACTCTCCTGATAAATTCCTTAAGTTCTGGGCTTTGAGGTCTGTGATTACTTTCCCACAGTTATGAGAGACTTTATCAGTGAAGAAGAATATATGACCTGCTATAATTATGGCTGATTACAAGCATGATGATATACAATTACCCTAATAAAAAAGATTGATGTTTGGAAATATATGTGTGAATTTTAATGAGATTTCATATAAGTGTTCCTGATCAATCTCCTCCATATGCTACACAGATTCAGTTCATACTCCATTATACTGCAGTCAACAATGACTGGAGTACTGTTACCCAATGAAGCTTAATTTATTATGCTGTAACTTAAGTTTCCATACATGAGTAAGAAATCACTGAGCTCTTAATAGATCTAGAGAATATTATGCTAGGTCGTGCAGTATTTTCAATTATTTCTCATTGTTTTTAAAACCATCTCAGGTCAACTTGTTCTTCCTGTTAGTATTAATTGTTTACTATGTAGTAATACAAATGTAGTTTTATGAAATCATCTATATCCATGTAATTTCACTAGGTTTTCTTTGTTTCTTTATTCATTCTTCTTGCTATATAAAAAAAAAAAAAAAAAAAAAAAGCTAATGGCTATTATTCTCCTAATACATACATATTATTGATAATAAAAGTGCCATACTTCTTGATGTTTTCACATATTCATACTGTTTCTTGATTAGCACAGTTACCTCCCTCCACACATTTGTCCCCAAATTCTACACATGCCCTTCATTTATTCTATTCTGTTCTTTAAAATGGCACAGTTAACCCTAAGGATGACAGATGAGAAGCTGGTCTCTGCTGCATAGTTGTCTTGAGGTCTGTGTTGAGAATTACATGGCAAGAGTGATTTATTGCAACTGAATAAACAATATATTGACTAGATACAAACACTCTTTCAGCTTGCTTTCTTCTATGAATTTTGTAGCAGGTATGTTACATGTAGAATGATCTCAACACATACTGGTTATTCATATATATATGTATATTTTACAGTATTTTTAGAAATTTTTACATAACAACTCCTGTTACAAGGAATTGAATGTTTGTCAAAGAGCGTAGCTCCATTCTCAAGTCAGCTGGGACCTGATCTGCAAGAGTGAAGGTAGTGCTAAATGGGAAATCCTGCTCTTCATTGAACCCAAAGACTTTTCCTGAGCCAAGTGAACAGAATTCTTTATTGGTTTTGAACAAAATATATTATTTTTAAAAGGAAAAAACTTAAAAGATTTTTTTTTTTTTTAATGCATATTAGAAGATTTGCAAAAGAGCACACTAAAAATAAGATTCAAAATAAGATCAGCAATACTGAAAGGGAACATACAATATTACATGACAGCAAAAAACTGAGTCTTAACTAAAAGATTTCCACACCTCTACTGCCATTAAGAAGGGACTCTTTAGCTGTTGAGGATTATGTAAAAGAAGTGTTTTAGATTGGAAAAACAAGCTTAAGAAAAGGTTTCTGTGTTAACTTTTTGAGCACGCTAAATTCCTGACAGCTACTTCTAACAAGTCTTAACCCTAAAAAAAAAAACAAAGATGACTTAACAGTTCACACAACAACAAACCTTCAGCAATGAGAAAATAACTCTGAGACAACAACAAAACTGATGACCTTTTGGATACTCTCAGATCCCTCATTTTTGTTAGCACATTCTTCTATTATGTTAGGAAATAATTAACAAGTGCAGTACATGTGTTCTCTGCATACAACAAATAACTGCAAGAGAGGAATATATTGAGCTTGATTCTTTTGTAGATACTATATCCATTAGCATACTACATTTGTTGTTCGTCTTCAATAAACAACTTAAAACATCTTATGCTAGCTACTCAAATCCCATCCCATTCTTTTAAACACTGTATATATACTTCCAGAGAAAATGTATTTTTGTATACAATATATCTCATATTTACACATTACCATGTTATCAAGAAATTTGGAGAATCAGACCACAGGTATAAAACATCCTTACACAAATGCCATTGATTTCAGGAATGTAGATTTTGAAGTATAGGATATTGAACTTTTAAAATATGGCCTGACTGCTCTTTCCCCTCTAGAAAATTTATTTGTAATCCAAGCATATCTGCTTACTTCAGTGTGCACATTTCCTATTCTGCACATACTTAAATTCCCACCAGTGTGTGAAACAGCAAGCATAATCAAGCACAAAAATTCTGACCCATTATTTGTAAATGACAGAACAGAGATTGTGTTTGGCAAGAGATAGTTGCACCTGAGATTGAACTATTCTCCTGCAAGTCTTGAGACAGCAATGATTTTTTAGAGAGTAAATCCACATTCGACAGAGTGGCCTGGCCTAAAAATTGTGGATTATCCAAATGAAAGAGTTGAACAAAAGCTCAGCTATTTAGAAAATTAGATTATGTCCTCAGATTATTATATTTGTAAAAATCTTACTAGATGTCGGATTCCATTACTGAAACAGTTGGCAAAGGTTATTAGATTTCTAATTATGCTGTATCTATACATTGTTTTAAAATGAGTTCAATGTATTACAGTGTTCTCTTGAATGAAGATGAGCAATAAAGTATGCCTGCATTGATCGTAACTGTGGAGTTATTAAAAACATTAAGATATTGAGTAAAATGGGCTTACCCTGAATTACAGAAACAGTTCCACAAACCTTGACCATGGCTCCAAAGTAAACGATTAAATACACGGTTAAAGAGACGGTACAGATGTAGATTTTCAATGTCTGGAGCCTTCCAGACGTGCTGGAGGACCGCACGAACACTTGTCTTGACTATATCCAAAACCTAGGTAACAGTATTTGAAGCATATCAAAGAAAGGCATACTGCAAAATCTAAAAAACAACTGTTCTCTGATTCACTGCACACACAGATCACTGCATAGCTATAAATTCCCACAGATGTCTACATTTCATTTCTGTGCATTCAGCAGCAAACCTTTATGAGATGCTTTTTTCTGTCAATAAAATTTTGCAAAACTAAATAAAAATATTTTATTTTTATTACAGAAAAGTTCCTTTTTTTTCAGTCTGTTGAATTCTAGCTAATTTAAATTACAAAAAGCATTTAAAGTGAAACAAAATGGATGCAATTAGAGACTAGAAGCAACATAATTAACAACCCAAATATTGTACATATGAAGATTATCTCTTTTTCCCCTTCCTTTTAAAATGCCGTGTATTTTATAAAGAACTAAAACATCCTCAAAAACTTCTGGTTTAACGTCTGTTGAAACTCAGCATTACACTAGATCAAACTATTTTAATGTAGCTTTCAGCTGACAAATAAGCTAGTGAAATAGGCAACAAAATAGGAAAATATTTAAAGAAGTAATGTCTATAGCAATGAAAGAGATTTTAGATATATTTATATAAAAATATAAAATGGAAAGTGGGATTCATCATGTCTGTTTTTATATCTGTAGGTTCTCTCAGGTCAGTCATCTAAGTTACCTCTATACTTACTGGAAGAAAACAAGCTGAAAGAATATATTGACATCCATTTATTCAGATACATCAATAAAACCAGGAATAGGAAGCAGTAAACTTCCAGAACACTGAAGTAGTATCTTGCCCCCTCATTGGAGCTCCAAACTCTGCCCTAAAAGAGCCTATGGTGCATGTAGTCTTTAAAAAAAAAAAACAAAAAAAACAAAAAAAAAACCAAAAAAAACCCAAAAAGAACAACAAAAAAAACCCACACACCCATAATTGTACATAACGTGGGCACCCTTGTTGCCTCTTTATAAAAATATCATCTCCAAAAAAACATCACGCTCAACTGAGTAGTGAACTGAGGAATGTACTCTTTCAGTACAAGATGTTGCAAATTTGAAAATTTAGAAGGTATGGTATTCTCTCTGGCAACTTTTAGACGTATGAAACACAGATTTGTATGGCTAAATATCTAGGTCTCAAAAGGTGAAGGAGATTTAATAAAAACAAAATATGGAAGCATGATGTAGAATTTCAATGTTTTAGATCTGCATAACAAACTGTTGTTCATAAATAGTCTTATCACACCTGACAAACAAACCAACCTGTGGGTGACTGATAAAAACCACCTGGATGAAATATGTCATTGACATGTTGAGTTCTTTTTTGAAGAAATAGGATTGTATGCAAGTATAGGTGTTGTTTTAATCCAGTGCACATAGTTACCAATGAGAACACAATGCTGTCCTATCTGTTAAGAATCTTTGCTGTTGAAAAAACATGCTTGATCTCTCACACATGATCCGCAAGAGTGAGATAGAAAGATTAGATGCTATTGAGTAGCCTTTTCTTTAGCATCTGGAGGCAAAGAAAGCCAAAAATAGAGTCTTGCATCTTATAGCAAGGTACAGACTGCCAGGTACTATGGAGGGGGAAAAAAAAAACCTGTTCTGTTTTTGCTGTGTTGACATTGCCAATACGCCAGAGTGGGAAATATCACAGTTAATTGTTCTTAATTTGCAAACAGAGCCTCAATCATCCATTTAAGAAAAAGAGACAAGGCATTGCAAAAGGGCTGGAACTTCATGGAGCATACAAACCCATTTTTCTAAGCTAATTTCCCTAGATTGCCTTCATCTTTCTGTTTACATCAATTTACATCATCATCATAGCCAATTATCTAAGTGTAACAGAACAAGATGTTATAAGAGAGTATATTCAAAACAAGATGAACAGACCTCTGTTAACCATCAAAACAGTTTTTAAAGAAATTATGTAAAGTGATGTAACACAAAACAGTCACAACTCCTGTCATACAGAAGTCTCTTTTTCCTAAAAGTCTTGAGAGATTAAATTTCATTTTAGCATGTATTGATTTCATAACTTTCTTCTAAATGCCTCCTTTAACTCTGCTGTAATGTTGTAATGTTAGAAGGCAAGAATATGAGCAAGAGTTTAATTTTTCTACATTATGAAGAATAATATTTAAGAAAATACATCTGTCAGGGACAAGCATTGTGAAATCTTGTGCATTGCCCAGGTATTTTCTTCTCGTTTTTTTTTAGAACTTGCCAGTAATTCTGAAGTATAGTTAAGGGGACTGAGTTCCTGTTTTGTATTTCACAAAGTTGCAGAAAGTACCTTTGAGACAGATTCTTTACTTGCATAAATATGCTTCACCTTGAGCTCTTTTCTGCTTTACCCACCCCACTGGAATATAAAACACACTTCTTTCAAATCAACAAAAGCTTACATTTGGCAGTCCTGAGCTGCAATGTCATTGTCAAAGTTAATCCATTTTTATGAACTACCCTTCCAAGAATAACTATCTGATAGCTTGAAGGGATTGAGGCTAAAAACAGTAAAGAAAAAAAAAATTATTTCCAGCGTAACCAAAGATGAAGGGCCCACTTGTGCTTCAAGAATCGTTAGTTTCCCAAGTAGCAAATGATGCCCCCCCAAAAGAGCAGCAAAGACAACCATATTCATGGTTGTGCAGTTTTACCAATAGCGGCCTAGCATATCAACCTGTATCATCCCAACGTAAATGTGCCCTTGCCTTTACATGACTGCCAGCCAAATAAAGGGCATAACTAACGTATATTGTAGACTTTCGGAAATTGTTACAATAGTGCTTACAGGAGAACATTCTGAAAAGAATGAAGGACAAGAATAGGGGGATGGTGAAGGGAAAAAAAGAAAGGAAGGTAGAGAGGAAAAAAAAATAATTGGAGAGAGAGAAAAAAAAAAAAATGAAATACTTTAACTAGTCTTTTGTGAAAGCCCTGTATCTCAGTTGTAACTATGGGCCTCAGCCAGGGACCCTTATTCACACTCATAGCTGCACAGACTAAAGGAGTCAATTCTGGCTACACAACCCCGATTATCTCCAGCTGCCCCAAGGATTTCTGCTGCAAAGAGATCTTCACTGCAGCAGCAGCATGAATTTGAGACACTGTTAGATATATGTATATGTACATATATCTGTCCGTCCCCCTATCCTCCCAGCAAATCTTCCTCTGTATCACTACAAGTCCACACTAAGCCTCTCTCTGGATTTGCACTAATGGTTATAGCTGCCACACGCACACAGTGGAAAAGACCTATGTGAATGCCTATTGGCATTGCAACACTCATTCCTGTAACAAGAAACAAATGAGATCATTTTAAACAAAGGAATATTCAGCAGAAAAAGGTCTAGATATGAAAAAAAATTAAACAATTTCAGCAAATGAAGATAGCTGCTCTACAGATTCCTGACAATGGCACAAGAAGTCTGCTAAGTTATAGTGCTGCCACTTGACATGGTTAAAGAAGAATTCTAGTTATTTGTAGCTTCCCATGCTGTCAAGTCTGTCATGTGTAATTTAACTTTTAAAAGCTGTATAGATGTACATTCAATGTAATATCTGAACTTCATAATTTGACTTGAATAGTCAGATATATTTCTATCAAATGATATCACATTAAGGTAACGTTTTCTCTGTCCAGTACGAAAACAAGCATTTAATGCAATATTCAGTGAAATACAGTTTGAAAGCCTGAAAATAATAGGGCTGATTTTATAAAAGTTGAGATGAGGATCAGAAATTGTTCTCTTGTTCTTTCATAACCATCAACCAAGCTTTTCCAATGACAATATTTATCATGTGTGCAGCGTTTTTATTAAGTTGCTTGCTTTTATAGTCTATAAAATAGATTGTGAAACTGAGAAATACAGAAATTAAATGCCTGGAACAGATATGCAAATCCACATATTGTGTCAGTGACTGAAACTAAGACCCAAATACTGCTTTAGGGTCACCTAAGCACTAACAATACTCTCAAAAAATTTCTTCTGCATTGAGTTAAATAAATACTATATTGGGAAGATGATTTTGACTGGCATATGTTATGTCACACAGATATGTCACACAGACTGGCATCCTATACTGGCCAGTTTTTAAAAACTGCGTACAACAGTACCTCCTAGACATCAGATGAGTAAAGACAGAATGGTAAATAAATGTAATTATTCCTTTCTAAGACTAAAGTAGACAGTTGAATGTTATAACAATGTTAAAAATCTTTGCTTGGCTGGCCTATTTTTTCTTTAACACGATCTGTTGTAATACTGTGTGTCAAAGACTCAACTAACCAAGTGCAATATCACTAACCCTAATGGAGTTTTAACATTCCTAGTCTGAAATTGTTGACTAACTCATCTTTATCAATCAAATCTGCTGAATCAGTACCCTTCTCAAAATGTTCACTAAAAAGATAGGTACCCAAGGGGCTGGGTTTTTTTCCCCTTTTCTTTCAGCAGTCTAGTTTTTTAAGAAATTGTTTTTGTAATTATATTTCAGAATAATTACACTTGTCTAAATATGGAGCATCATCATTATCTAGATATAATAGAATTAATTCATATGTATTAGAGAAACTAGCCAGTATTTGAACATCTCAAGTCACTCTCAAAAACTGCTAAACACCAGTAGGCATATTGCTATTTGTCCACTTCTGATGATCTGGAGAAAACGAAATCTGTATCACTTACTTTTCGTTGCTTTACAGAGTCCAGTTTTACTAACCAATATGATGCCACTTTTGTTTTATGGTACTTCCAATTATCCATTATCTGTAGTCATTGCAAAACAAAAGAAAAAATAAATGCATGTAAAAATAATCATAATCTGACATTTCATTCACAGATATTCACAATTTTAACATATGGACTGTCTAGGAGATCTCTGTGTAAAAAGAATCTCTCTAAAATAAAGTATTTTCAAATTTATGTTGGGAGACATTTGCCAAGATATGTTCAGCCATTCAGTTTAATCCTTCCATCTTTAGTACCTGGATTTTGACAGCCCTACACTACAAAGCAGATAGAAGCCTGTCTTGACTGACACAGTTGTGATTCCTTCAAAACAGCACTATGAGTTCCATAATGCATAACAGTTTCTTTCTTTCATAACGGACATTAGATACACATCGAAAACATGTTTTCTATAAACGATCATTGCTGTTGAGCAATATTTTCCTTTTACGATGTCGGTTAACAAAATAGCTTAAAGTGTGAGCACACACTTTTACTATCCTATCTTTGTGTTCTATTCCAGACCTATGGCCCTTTCTGCTTGACAACTAATATACAATTACTTCCGTACCTCCAAGATGAAATATTTTCTAACAGAAATTGATTAAAAACAGATGAATTTTAAAGAGAATTCTGCAGTAAGAAATAGCATTTACAATCATCCTAGCACGCTATTAGAACGCACCACTAGATGGAGTGCATTTACAAACACACACGCACACACACACAGATAAATATGCATATACTCTTGAAGAATCTTATTTCTAGTTCTGAGAAGAGAATCCAAACATGCTACTTACAAGTGCTGTCTTTTAAAATCAAGTAAATCAACCATCAATACAGGACAATTCCTTTCCACTGTGAGGCGTTTGCACAGACTATTGGAGACTTAATAAAAAAATTTGTTTCTACAAATTGTTTCTACAAATTTGAAAGCTCAGAGAAGAGAACAAAGGACATTTCCAACTGGATAAGGAATTAGCCTGATTTATTTTAACAAACCGTGGGCTGCTTACTTACTTCAGAATACAGGGGTTAATTTAAATGACTACATCCCTCTATATTTCTACTAGATTCAGAAAAATCTCTCTATTTTTTCTTTTCCAAGCTTACGTTAATTTCTTTGCAGTAGAGATCTATAAGAGATTTAAATACCATATATTTTTTTCTTATATAGCTGAATATTAGATGTTGCTTTTTAATTCTCCTTCAGATCAAGGATTGTTTCATGTCAAGTGGTAAGGCTCAGAATAACATTGGATGTGAGGAAATGCAAGCTAGCAGGCTATAGGAGCCAAAAAAAGAGTGTGAATTGTGATCGTTATGACTAGCAACCTCCCAGCATACCTCTCTGTGTTCTCCAGTAAGCATATTCAAATTAAACACATCAGGATCTGCACTAACAATACCAGATAAAATATAAACTGTTAATGAATTGTAACATTATTCTTAACTTACTTCAAAGTCTGAACTGTCTCCACAATGAAAAACTGATTTTTCCCAACCTTTCTGATAGTTTCTCATATATTTTATAAAGGCATAAGAATGTTTTCAGTGCTGCTTTTTCAAGGTCAGAAAGTGTGCAAAGCTGCAAGCTTTTGAAATCTTTGAATTATCCTGAGTTATGGAAGTTCTAAGGCCACAGGAGCTCATGAATCATAAATTGAACTTTCTTTCATTCTAGTAACATAAACAGTAAGTATCTAGACTGTAATTCTTCTTTCTTATTTATAGATACTTACTTCTTCTATAATTAATTCTGATTCTTCATCTGTTTTTCCTGGGAACTTCATTCTCATGTCATTGAAAATGAGTAGAGTCTCTTTTGTCAAAGCGACTTCTTGCTCTTTAGTTTTCTGCTGCAGTAAGGACTCACTCTAAAAACAATATTAAGTAGAGAAAAAAAAATCAGGCGTGATATTAGATCATCAGATGGTAACAAAGATATTTTCTTGATAAAAAAAATTCTAAACAAGAAGATATAGAATACATTTGAGCAGTGCACAGATGTAGTATCTGATACATATCTGACATACATATATACCTCATACATTAACCCATCAAGGTTACTTTCTGTTGTAAAGGGATGCAGGAAAAGCCAAGTTTGAATGCACATTTGTTTGAAACAAGGTAAGAAAATTTATGATAGATATTCATAATGATTACCACTTTGAATTTAAATTTGAAATGTGAGATAACTAAGTTCAATATAATTAAAATAAATTCTTATTAAAAACTTCATTTTAGGCCTGCACAGCAACAAATTTGAATTAATATTTTACAGAAACTGCCAATTATATGACTTTGTGCAAAGTCTTCAAGGAAACATAAAGAAGCAAAAACATTTTAATCACACTCTGGTCCGTGGGTTTCTGGCATTGTCTTCAGTTTTTTAGGACATTGCTTAATATTTACTTTTGATCATAACTGCTATAATAATACATCTGTAATTCCCAAATGTAAATCACAGAATGGCTTGGGTTGGAAGGAACCTTGAAGATCATCTGTTTCCAGTCCCCAAGAACAGGCTGCCCAGAGCCCCACACAACCTGGTCTTGAGCACCTTCCATCCCTGCCCTGGGATGGGGCACCCAGAGCTTTTCCTGGCAGACTGTGCCAGTGCCTCACCACTGTCCTTGTGAAGAATTTTTTTCCTAATGTCTAGTCTATAGCTCTACTCTAATTTCAAGTCCCTACTCCCTGTTCCATCACTGTTAAAGATTCCCGTCTCTCCTTTTCAGTACTGGAAGGTTGGTATGATGGCTTCCTGCAGCCTTCCCTTCTCCAGGCTGAACAAGCCCAGCTCTCTCAGCCTTTCTTGATAGGAAAGGTGCACCAGCTCACTGATCATCTCTGTGGTCCCCCTCTAGACCACTCCCATAAGTCCACGTCTTTATTACATTGAGGCCCCAGTGCTGAATGCAGTACTCCAGGTAGCTCATTCTAAACTTGAGCTTCCATACGTTCAGTACATTTGAATCTTACAAGCCTCCAAAAATGACAGTATACTCCTTTTTTCCTGCCTGAAGGATCAATAAACTAATTTAACATGGACAAATTATTTATTTTTAGTAAGTTCTAGTTGATCATAATTTCAATTTTATTTTAGCAGTAATATATAGTATATTGTTCTTAGTTGCAAAAATAATTATGATCAGAGTTGCATTCACAATATAGTGCTAAATTATCATAAGTTCTTATCCATTTTCTAAGTAATTTTATTCACATTATTTTAAGAAACACGACTTAAGCTCTATTACCTCACATAATTGATCTGCATATCAAGATCATTTCTGTGCTAGAGCTTTCTCAATGAAAAATAAGTATAGTTTCTTGCTCATGTTAAGAGATTAGACCATTTTTTACATCATTCGGCAAGAGACTGGTTTTAATCTTTCAGTAATTTGTATTTGATATAGAGCTAATGCGAGTAGAAAAATCTATATCAGCCCTGTCTCATTTAGCTCTTAGAATACATCTTGATGATAAAAGGGTACATTTTAAACTTGAGATAGCTAATGTGATAAAACAACACCTTCAACACGTTGTGGTGAAGACACAATCTTAATGTCTTCCCAATTCTATTAGCTGACTTTAAAAGATAGAAAACCATGCTAAGGAATATTTCACAGGGTGTCAGCACACAATTTTAAAAGGATCCTTTTTCATCATTTAGACAAAGCCTCACAGGCAAAGCAGACAACGTGCATTCTGTCGGATGCATCTCTACTAGAGATAGTAAATACTGTGAAACAACTTAATTAGCATTACAAAAGGATTTCTGACAATCAAAGCACACCACAGGAAAGAAAGGCTGCAAGTGTGGGTAACAAGTGCCACTTTGTACTGCCCCATCTCCAGATAAGTTATTTGGGTGATGAAATGCACAGACCAGGTACTAAAATATGAATTGAAACACAAAAATTCAAAAGAAAAAAGTATGGTTCAGAAATACACTGTTATCTTACAGCTACACAAATTATGAACAGTTAAAATTTTTTGATTTATTTTATTTTTCTGTTCATGATTTAGTTGGACCACCTGAGTAAATGTTTTGTCTGCCTAACTCAGGGACAGGCTTCAAAAGGAAATACATGTCTAGACCTGTCTTTCTAGATATCTTATATTCCTGAGTATCTCTCAAAACAGAATTTAATTGATGATAATGGATCACGATTTTTGACATTGTAAAAATTAGTAATGTATTTATTGAACTTTAGAGAAATTGAACATTTTTGAATGTTATCTCACCCCTGAAGAGTTCATAGTTCCCAAGCTGGATGTCTGACAGACCCTGGATGAAGATGGGCTGCAATTTAAAGAACGAGACCTATTCACTGAGGATGCACGCTGGATTTGCAGAGGTGCTTTGGCAGAGAAGGGACGATGCTCAGCTGCATGTGACTGCATAGACAATATTGATATTGAACGAGGGCAGCTTACTGAACGCCTTATTGGACCTGTAGATGATGATGAGGATGAATATGATGGAGATTTTGTATTTTTAATTGAAGGTTTCCAGTTCATTCTACCTGCAGACAAATTAAAAGTTTAACAAGTAGTTGCATCATTTAAGACCCATTTTTCCATCAGTAATTAACATACAACTAACAAATGTGTACATCCACTAAAGTGTCACATACCTTATATGTAGTAGTCATTCATGACAGATCCCCTAATAATGCACGCTTTATATATTCTATTAGAACATGTGTTTCTTCTTCATAGTCACCTTTAATCAGGTAGACTCAGCCCTCTATAACGTGCATCAGATTTAATATGGAGCACATATTTCTCTATAGGTTAAAAATTGTGTGGGGCTGCTACATTAGGCTTCCTGAATGGAATAATATGGAAAAAAGAATTTGGTTGCTGGAGCATATATTTGTAGGCCCAGCTTCCCTCATTTGCTTTTACATAATTGTAAAGCTTTTTAATTCAGTCTAAATAAAGAATGCTAACATTAAAAATAAAATTTTAGAAATATTTGTGTAATAACACAATGAAATTCTTCTCAAAGTAATAAAAGAGTTAGAGAAGCATTTACAACATTTCCAAGTGTGACTCAGGTGTGTCTTTCCTTTTAGCAATCTTGTAAAAAAATCCTTTTTAAAATAAAAAAATTTCATTAATTTAGAAAAGATTTTAAAAATGAAAAGGAAAAAAACAACAGTATGAGTAACCCTGAGTTACGAATGCTAATATATTCTGAAATAAGTGAAGCATTTTATATAATTTCTCATGTATGCCAGGCTTAGCTAGAAACGTGATAATTTAACTTACCTGATCGTTCTGAAGGTTTACATTTATTTTCTTCAAGATCATATGATACCTTTTTCTCTTTTTTCTCATTGTGATCTTCCTTTTCAGTTTCATCTCCTGACCCTGACATACTGCTACCACTATCACAGCTGCTATCACTACTGTAGTTCTTAAATTTTCTTACGGGTTGTGCAACTTCTGGCATAGAACACAAGGGCTAAAGCAAAACAAAACAACACACACACACACCAAAAAAAAAAAAGCAAAGAAATTAATTTTCTTAATAATCCAAAAAGAACAGAAAAACATTTTACTATATTTGTGAGTTATGGAGGTTCATTTGTACATACTTAAACTCTTCCAAATTTGACTGGAAATTTTTCCTTAATTTTAAAATAAATTTTAAGTAGCTCATTAAACTAATGACAATAATCCCAAACTTTCTCACACAAATAGCAGCATAATACAGTAGGGTGAAAATGTCATTTTATTTTATTTCAAGTACAATTTATACTGCCCAACATATTGGATTAAAGTTTAAAATCACAAGTCAAATGATACAGAATATTATGTGCAATCAGTTGCAATCCCTAAATAGTATTTGCAATAAGTGAAGAAATGTTTTAACAGTGATCACTCTGAGGCAATGAGGTACACCAGGGAACTTCAGCTGGTATACTTCTGAAAGAGCATCCTATAGAAAGCAGGATCTGGAAGGATACAGCAGGCTATGTTAGGCATCTTTGGAATCCCATATGTATATGGGATTCAGTGTCATTAAGTAATTAATCACATGCTATTACCAAGGGTAATGTGAGATAAAGAACAAAAAGTAGGAGACAGCGTTGCAAGAATGGAACTAACAACAGAAAATTTTCCTTCGTGCAGCAGTCATGGTGCAGTCAACAGAAGTGCCATGTCCTCCATTATATCTATCAACCTAAGAAGTCTCATGTGGTCCCTTTTTTTCCCCCTACATGCTTTCTGTCCATTAACCCCCATCTATAATAAGCGATGGCTTCATCTTCCTAGTTGTCTAATGGACAGCAATTATGTCTCACATTAAAAAATATTGTAATTTTTGGATCAGCATGAAATAAAAAAGCTCCTAGGATTCATTTAAGTTTTAATATAATGTAATGCACAAATATAAACTATGAAGGATAATATTTAATAACTAAACACAAGCTACCTAAACTTCTACTCCAGATGAGGAAGGAAAGAGATTTCTGTTGCTGACTTAACAGTGATAGTATGTTTATGCAAGCCCAAGCTGTCTGGCCAGAAAAGGAAGAGTTAAAGAAATATTAATAATAAAGTGATATATCCCACAGGGGAGAGCCCTGGCAATTGTTCAGACTACACAAAGAGTATTATGATGTCTACCTACCAGCCAAAAGGACAAATTAAGGTGTCTCAACACTTACTGATTTCTCAGAAATAGCTATCCTAATAATGAAATAATACATATCATGAAAAGATATTTATTAAACATTCCTGATGTTATACAAGAAATAATAAACACTTCCAAACAAAAATCATGGATTTTAAAGGAGATCTTATTTCCACTTACCATATACATATTCCTAACACTTTCTGTACTGAAAAATAATAAGAACAGCCTGAACAAGACTTTACATCAATTAAACAAGAAGAATAAAAAGAAAGGTCAAAGAAATTAGAAAAAGAAGTAATAACAAATAAAATCCAGATCTGGGTTTAAAGTCACCACTTAAAATAAGAAATAGTAAATTGCTTAGCAATTCTAATCAGCTTGATTTTCCCTCATTTTGTTTGATTGAACTCATTTGATTCTATAACAGAAGAATTATAGTAAAATTACCTCTAAAGTATATGTATTTATTTTATTTCCTTCGATCCTTTTCATATGCAATAGGTGCCGTGTAATAAACACAGCAGTGTAAATCTTCCAGTATGCAAGTCTAAGGTGCCCTCTAGAGGCCAGAAATTAAAAAGACATTTTCAGAAAATATTTCTCAATTCATGCAGAATTCAATAACGTTTTCAATTGCAGACAAAATTGTCTTTGCTCTGGAAGACTCTCAGCTTGTTTTCTAACATGAGCTCCTAATTGTATTCAAATTTAAAAAAAAAAAAAAAAGAGGCTGAAATTTTTAGCAAATATGTTTTGTTTTTACATGCAAAGATTATTTATACAAATACACACCTTCTATCCCTCTGTTTTATGTATGGATATGGAGGAAAATGAGGAAAAAATGTTTTTCTCTCTCCTTATTATTCCAGCTATTTAGATTCCCTACTGTTTCTTCAAGGAAGGGAGTGTGCCCAAGGCAAAGTGTGATTTCCTGAGCACTAAAGATTTAGGGAAGGCAAGACTTTCAAGAATCTTTACCAGTTTGCAGAGATACAGAGTGTGTTTAAGGCAAAGGCTCAGTTGAACTGTGTGCACAACCAGAAAGCGTTAAGCTAAAAATAACATAGATTCACTTTAAAATCAGATTTTGGCTCCAAGATATTTTGTATGATGTTTTTAGCAAGTACGCAAGCTGCAGATACATCATGATCATAAATAATCCTTTGAGCTTCCATAGTGCCTCTTATCCCATGATCTCAAAAATCCTCAGTGGCACTAATTGACTAAAGATCAAAGCATTCTTTTGAGATAATTTGTGGATATAAAAGATCAATTCACTGAAATCAAGTAGTCTCTTGTAGAACAGTTGTTACCATACCCAGCAATTCCTCAAAATAGCTTAGAGAGAAAAAGAATACCATAGAGTTAAAATTTTTCATTTTTCATTTCATTTTTTAAGCAAAATACACAGGCTAATGGGAGTATGAGGAAGAAAGCATCCACCAGGATCAGCTAACTAAATTCCCCAATTAAAATCCTCAGACCACTTTTTTATATGAAGGAATAGAAAAATGCTATCTCAAAGTCAAATACCTTAGGTCCTCGCTGTCTGGTGCATTTTCCCATTAGTTTTTCATCATCTATTTCACACTGCTCCAGAAGATCCAAAATGTCCTCCTCCTAGAAATAGGAATTTCACTATGATTAATTCAAAACGTGGCATATCCTATTCTTCCAAAGTTCAAGTGCCAACTGATAGGACTTTGAAGTTACTTTGATTGCCTATCCCTGAAATAAGATAATGAATGCCTCCAGAGTAAGATTCTCCTATTCTTTATCTCTGACTGTGTAAATAGACAATGAAGCCGAGTTTGAGGATGCATTGAAATAGTGGAGCTGGTTTTATGATATCAGTTATTCTAATCTGTAAAAGTGCACAATGGGTTGGAGACATTACTGGAGGAAGGAGGTGGCAATGACCAGCTCATAAGCAGTTTCTGCCAAGAATAAGGCTGAGGATTGGGGAAATGGAAGTCAGTGAGCTTGTCTCCACCCTGGGGCCACTGCAGTTCATCCAAATTCAAGGTTCTAGCCCACAAGCTATACAAAGTATAAGATGGAAATGTTATCAAATGCTATTTATTACCCATCATTCATCACAATCATAAATGTAATCTGCAAGGATATGAATTCCAAGAAAAATGACTTCAAGTAAGACTTCTATGAATCAGTACCTTCATTCTTTTCAAAGGGTTATTCATTTCCCGCTGAAGTGAAGCAGCTCTCCCAGCAAGAAATGTCTGGAAAGCAGTGGCTAACAAACTCTCATACTTTTCAAGTAATGATTTATCATCAGGAGGGTAAATTCGCCTGAAATAGGGGGAAAAAGTTAAATAGTATCTTCTACTGATAAGCATAGTATCTTCTGAGCTACTTATCAGACTAGGAACAAAAGTCATGCAGCTAATTCATGGTAATGCATATGTATCCCATCTGTAATTATTATGCAATACCATACCATGACACATATGCTCCTAGCAATGCTCTCCAAATCTAATTTTAGCTTAGTGAACACTTACATGTTTAAACCAATAATTAGCCAGTCAAAAAAAATCCCATGCAAGCCATTCCAGAGATGTATAGAAACACAGCTTTGCAATACTCTCTGAAATTTCAGTGGGTCTGAATACATCCAGGTGCAAAAGGTTCATGAAGTATTAATAAAGTATTGCATGTAAAATTCAGTGCAACAAAATAATTTGTATTAGCAACAAAAGTACAAAAACAGTGAAAATCTGAGCAATTCTTTGAGTTAATGGACATAACATGAAGATTGAATATGTGCTGCACTTGAATGATGGAGATGGGATACTAACTTACAATATATTGTAATGAATAACTCAAATTAATTCTGCCTGCACTGTGCAAAGCATAAGCATTATTTATAAATTAATTGGCAATACATGACTGGCATGTTTTGGATGACTTTTGTGGAATTCTTACAATGCTTTCTCTCCTTTTGCTTTACAGACTTCTCATTGGAAAGGTTTTATGTTACGATTTTGAAGCAATGGCAAAAGAACAATCTCATTAGACTCAAGTGGAAGGTGGCTCAGTTTCCATACAATACCTACACAAACTCTAATCCACGTGTAGTCAACATTTTTTATGGTGTTGATTCCACTGCTGAAAATGTAGCATAGAACAATTATGTAGGTCTCTCCAAAAGTAATGCCTCCTATGTATTTCCATGGGAACTACACCAGATACAAAGACCACAACAGCACTATTTGAAAGAGAAAAATCTTAGCTACAGAGCACTATTTTTCAACACAATTACCAACATTAGCTATGCATTTTCACCAGCAATGAACAATAGTCTGCATTCCACACTGGTAACAACCTGCACCAGCAGAGGTGAATTACTGTCACTGTCACCACTGCTGAAAGAAATCACCCACCACCTCAGTGTGCTCAAATCCTCTATTTGGTCTCCATAAATGTTCAGCAGGCACTGATGGATGCTAGTGGGCGCCACTTTTTCCTCATGGAGGAATTCAGCGATACCCCTTTGCTTCATTTGCCCTTTCATGTCGGACACCAATTTGTCAGACTTCTCCTCTGCTGCCATCTGTCACACGGCAACATAATGTAATGGGATATTGGTGGGAAGGTTCAACCTCTGCTGCCACCCCACCAACATCTGCCTCTGATTTCGTGGGTCAACATAATAAAATGGGAGGCATTACTTTCAGAGCAGCCCTCATTCTTTAAAGTAAGAAAGGTATTCACCCTAACATATATGGAAATACACTGTAGTTAAAGACCATTTCAAAAACATACACATTCTTTTCACAAATGCTTGAAAGCACAGCTCCTGCTTTGAAACACCACAAGATCCTAAAGAAAATGACAGGCTAGTTGTATTCGCAGCTGGACACTTGACTAAGCTGCTTCCTGAACTGCCATTCACAAGCACAGTGTCTTTATCAAAATCTGAGGTTAATGGGAAAAAATACAGTGTTCATAGGATTAGGATTCAAAAGTTGTCTGGACATAAAGATTTCCCTAGATTTTCATACTGGAAATAATATGAATCCACACAACAATGCTAGCATGCAAAATTTCTATGATTCTATGGCAATGCCTGAGAGGAACTAGTCCTGCTCTGCAGAAGGACATTGCAAAGAGAAAATACTGCTTAGATAACACCTGTCTGAATCTCTAGCCAAGATTACTTCTCAGGCTCTGCTGACTCTCCAGCCTTTTTGTGAACACATGATATTATGACAACACACTGCTGTTCAGCCCTTTTACATGTGCACATTTGTCACCAAATGCCACTTTACTTTTTCCTACGAAAAAATTAAAATGTTTGCATTTTTATTGTTTTAGATTAACCAAAAAGCTTAATAAAGAGAAGATTTGCCTCATCAGTCCAGAACTGAATGAGCAATCTGATATGGGATCAGTTAAAAAGTTAAAGTTATCAATAAACCAAAATGCATTAAAAGCATTATGATGTTTCTCCTTCTTCTCATTCAGTTAATAAGAACTGTTTCATTGTGTTCTTTTTGTCTTTGTTTTTATGTACTAGCTCACCTCTACATGTGTCAAGAAAAGATATAATTAAAGCTGGGAACATTACAAAGATGTAATTTTTTTTGTAAGCAAAGATAATTTGTCAAAAAGAAAAAAACACAGAAATATGTGTGTTTAAATAAGAAATTTACTGGGTTGTATAGAGCACCTGCTCAAAAAGCAGAGATGAAGAACAGCAGTAAATGCATTCTGACTAATTCAGAATGAAAGACATGAACCCAGACCTCTTACATCCCAGATGAATGTTACAAAGATTGGGTGAATGTTCCCATCATCTCTTCTCAGTGGTGTTCTGCTCCTTTTCACCAAATATTCATTGCCTTGCATTCACTTCTCATTGAAGCTAATGTCAAGAAATAATAAAAACATTGTAAAATAAATGCTTATTTTCTGGCCAAATCCAATTACAACCAAGAGAAATATGAATGTGATAGAAGCACAAACAAGGCTTCTGAAGCATCATAGAGAACATTCAGATTTGATATTTCATTCTCTGTAGAGTAATGCAGGAATATTAACATCCTGATACTATCCCACCCCAGAGAAAAGAATTGCCATTTGTGATTACAGAAGAAGTCCAAAATGAAAATCACACTTCTTGGTACAGTGAACATGAACAATCACATCTTTCGAGCAAATGTTTTGCACAAACACTGGAGTGATTGATGTAATATAAAGTAAATGCATGCAAAAATACAGAACAAGAAAAAGACCTCAAAAAAAAAAATAATTACCTGGTCTAATCTATGTGTTTTCTATCAATGCATACTTTTCTTTGTCATAAAATTATTAACTACCAAAAATGTTTGTTCCCTTTATTCCCAACAATGATTGCATTAAATCTTCTGATTGATATAGCTCACACAGTTACCTGTAGTTCCCCATGTGCCTATTTTCATGCTCTTCTTTGGAAATCTGTTTGCGTACTTGTGCAAGTCTTTCCTTCTATAAATCAAGAAAGTAAGACAATTAAAACAAAGATAATGTAAATCATGGGCAAGAAACAGCATTTTTCTTTCCTACCAGTTCTTCTTTTCTCCTTTCCAGTGAGTGACGTTGCTTTTCCCAGTCTGAAGAACCCGGCAACAGTTTTTTCATTGAGCCTTGACCATACAGTCTCTTTTGAGCTTCAGCTTTCTGTTGGGCTAAATTTCTCCTTTTATCACTTGTTCTGAATCACAAGGGACATTAAGGTACATCAATCCACAAAGAATACTTTAAGAAGAATTAGAAAAATGTTTATTCTCTGTACAGATAATATTAAAAACCTTTATAACAAAATACATTGCAGAATATGTCTAGCACATTCACTTAAATAAGCCCCCATGCAGGTTTTGATAGCTAAGAAGCAGTAAGAAGAGTTCAGGCATTATTTTTCAGAACTCAAATCAGAGCATCAAGATTTACTGCCTTATCAAGCATTGATTATTGACATAATGCAGCTGAGTTGAAATGCACTTTCATTTCAAGTAAATCATCTGCAGCTTTCAGTTGTTCTTGTATGGTTTATGATACACAAATGAGTTGTCAAAGACTAAGAATTTTTTTTTAATATTAACTTTTATGGCTGCCAATCTTCACACATTAAGGTGTGCTATAATGCTGAAATTTAATGCAGAAATATGATAGCAGCTATTTTCCTGAAGTTTAGATTTTCTTCAACAAATTCCAACAAGCAGACTTTCTTATAGAGGGGTATGCCTCATGACTCTGCATGAAATTATTGTCAGAGCAAACTTGCTATGAATGCAATAATACTCCCACTCTGAGATCTATTTGAAAAAGCTTCTAAAAGGCATGAAAATGATTATTACCACTTCATTTCTGGCAAGTACTTGAACAGATATAAAGATTAAACTTGAGCTTTTAATAGCAAAACTCACAGCAAGAGAACTATTTAAGTTTTTAGAATTTGAACAGGGAAAGAAATGTCATACTCTACTTAGTCCAATTAAAAACAAACAAACATGCAAACAAAAAAAGAAAAAAGAAAAAAATAACAAAAACAAAAAGAGAGCCAGACTGAAGAAGACAAGATTACCTGATGTTGAGAAGCTTTAATGCATTTAGCAGAACACCCTTTTTTACATCATAGTCTATTTTTTGGTCTGTTCCAAAGCTTGGGGCTCGGTTAATCTGGAAAAAGAAAAAATAAGGAGGAAAAAAAAAAAAAAAGGAATGCTCAACTTCATTAGGAACTTATCTGTTGTAACAGGAAAACACATTCTTTCAGATATCACAGAGAATAAGAGAACACACGTTGAAATGCTCATCTCAGATTGTGTTTCTTAAATAATTAGAGAATCAAGCATCATCACAGAAATCGGGAGCCAGGAGATGTACCTCTCAGACATCAACTTATCCAGACACTCAGAATGAACCTGATTCAAGTACTGGCAATTTAAATCCAGTTTACTGCATTCCTGGTTGCTGAGGCTAGAAATCTACCACAGCAAGTGCTGTTAAGTACAGTATAACTATGTGCTGTGCTGCAGGAGTCCAGCACAGGAAACTCTTTCCTTGTTCCTAGTCTGCAATACAATTCTACTCTGAAAAGTAACAAGTTGTAAAAGCAGAAATCAGCATGTGGTATGAAAACATAAAATAAATAACAGAATGAGTTACTTAAAATCTAAGTGCAGAGCAAGACATCATAAATGTTAATATAAACATAGAGGAAGAAAGGAAATGAAATGAGGAGACTTTACCAGGCATCATCTAACCACTGCCAAGCTCTAGAGCCACCGCAGAACAGCTTTCAGAAAAGCTTTCAGGGAGAATAAAGTAAATGCATGAATATCTCAAGGAACACCTTTCAGGCTTGTATGAAGAGGTATACATGAGCAATAGGTGATAATAAAAGGCTGGAATCATGCTGATTGTGAATGAGCAGTCATGGTGAAGGAAGGGAAAGACAAAAAGCTTCAGAAGAGAAAACTAATGCCTTGTATCACATGCAAATGAGAAGTGAAACACAACATGGAGTACTATGATTCAGTTCAGCAAATACCTAAATACACAGATAGCTCACTGAAATGAAAACAAAAATGTAAAAATCAAGCCCCATCTTATTCAGAAGAAATGTTAGATATTGTACAACATGATATTCTGTATTGAATTTTTGACTCCATAGCTACATATAGTAATTAACAATATTTGGCTTTGAAATGCTTTTTTCATGCATCAAAAACAAGTAAGCAAACAGAAATATAGCTATTAAAACTTCCAACCAGTTAATTTCTAGTATTTTACTAGAATCAGCACACTGAATCCTTAAATTCAGTTAAAATGCAGTTAAATACAAGAAATTATTTGAAACATGTAAAATGCTACGTTAGTCCAGTATTGAACTCACAGGACTGCTAGATGCACACATACACAGACCTGAACTAGGCAGGTCCATAGGTGCTAAAAATTTACTCTGAAATGTATAAAATAATTTATAATCTCTCTCCTACAGACAGAATGTTGCCAAAAATATGCTATTCTGAACAAAACCACATTGACTGTGCTTAATAAGCAGAAAATTAGGGTAGGGGTAGGAAAGATGTAGGAAGGCATTTAAAATGCTCTTCTGAAAACAAATGCTACTGGGAAACATTACGCTATCATCCCACTTAAGGCAGACACTTAAGAAGCTGAAATGCTACTGTTCTCATATTAGAACTGGAACACTACTCTGTGACTTGCAGAGGATTTGTTGGTGTTTGTTTTTTTAATACACAGTTCATGACTAAAGATTGAAATCCTGACCCTAACGTAACCTCAGTCCTGAGGAGTAACCAGAGGGACAGTAAAAACAGTGATCCAGTTCTGGATGGCTGCTGCAAACTTGTCTTAGTGCAGTATTTCATGTAGCAGTAGATCCAACACAAAATCCAAGCAACTGAGTGCATCAGAAAGTTAATACAGAGAGAGCAGGTGTGAATTTAAAGTCAACTGGCTATTCCATGCTCACTGCCTGTGTGGATATTTGAACTGCCTTTTGATTTAGTACAACTACATGCAAGGATGCTGCATTAACAAACCTTTCTTTTAAATTTCTCCACCTGTTCACTATCTGTTCTTTCTCACATCAGGAAACTTCAGAAGGCAGTCTTGACAGCTGACCTTAAGTATAAAGCCTGCTTATCACTCAGTGTAGATGGAAGATGAGACATTTCTAAGATCAAATGATTTTTGCTGTGCTCTGCCAGAGGGACACAAGCATGCATACCTAGTGACTAGAATTTGAATACTTTATTCAACTTCAATACAGTTTAAATGTCAGAAGAAATAAATCTCTAAGGCCATATTTTTATACTGAAGCATGTTCAGAAACAAGATATTCCTATTCAGTGTCATGTGTTAGATTTATGCTATGTCTGTTGGATAAACTATCATAAAAACTTCAAAAGTCTGATGCATATAAGAATGCACAAGGGAAAAAAGAAAATTAAAAAAAAGAAAAAAAACCACTTCTTTATAAGTACAGTATTCCTTGGTACAGACTATTGAACACAACGTTTCTGACACATTTTTATGATGTCACAGTTTTAACTACCTTTCAGTAGTATTAGTAGTAGAATTAAACTCTCCACAAGTTTTTAATTTCCCCAACCACTATCTTCAACTTTTGCTTCATAATTCAAGTTTCACTGAATACAGCACAGACACTTAAACTACTTGTGAGCATAGCAGTTGTGGAGCTCAGCATATTTCGTAACTAAACACTTTCAGCAAAGGACTTCATACCTGTAATAGTTAAATTAAGCAGTGTAAGCTGAAGCATGTAAGGCTCCCACCTCCAGCTACATTTGCAAAACATACTGATTTTTAAAAAATGAAACTTTGTAAATGCCTAAGATACTAACTCCCTGCCATCTTCATCAATACCTGGGAAAAATTTCAGTCTGGCATTTCACCTCCTTATGGAAGCATTCCTATCAATCAAGAGCATTCCCATCTCTAGTAGTATACAGTGGGAATAGAAATATTCCACTTCTCAATAAAGAGATTACATAATGACTTAAATAAACCTAAAATCAATGGAATAAAATACTACATCTTTTGAGTAACAGGAATTTTATCTCCACTCAACCTGTAGGACAGCATGTTTTGGAGAGGATTAAATTCTCCATTAAGACAGTGACTCTGAGAATAGCATTTTTGAAGAAAAAAGAAATCCATAACCCATAAAAACCCTACTGCATCAGATGAGATGCTGTTACTGGTTACAAACAATGCTACTGACTGAGATGAAGAACTTGATCTCAAGCAAAAGATTATATTTATGCAGCAATTTTATGAACAAATAACTCAAGCATCAGTTAAACGCAATGAGCCAAGTAACGTTCACAATGAAACCTTGTGAACTAGATAAAACTAGGTTTAGAGATAAAAAGGGAATACAAAACAGAATCTGTGAAATGTAAAACAGACCAGTTACGGTAAAACTGGGAAGTGATGCGGAACAGATGGCCGAAGGATGCCAGCCGCCGGCGCGGCACAGCGCGGCTCAGGGCCGCCCGGCGCCACCAGATGGCAGCGGTGCGTTTCCTTGCGCTCACTGCTGTGGAAGGTTCCGGAAGTTCGGCAGCATCCCGGGGAGCGATACGGGGATAACGGCGAATATAAAGAGAAGTCATCTCGGGAAAGCAGTCATCGTAGCGCCGCAGAGCTTATTTCCTATAATAGTTTATTAAGCTAACTTTACAACAGAACGGCTCCGCGAGCTATGGAAAGCAGAAACTAGATTGACCATCCTGATCTTTTCTTGGCAGTTTTCCCGCAGCGCTGGGAACATGCAGAGCCTTGTGGTTCGTGCTTGTTCCCGCTGCTAGGGAGAGCACATCCCCTGGGGGAGCTTCGGCAACGGGGAAATGGTGGAACGAGAGAAGAGTAGAAGGCTGGAGAATCGAGAACTCTCTGAGAAAAAACATATGTATATAAATACCTATATTTTTGCACATTGTATATCTTGCCTATTATTATTTACATCACGTGCATACACACTAAGTATACATCATTATATCTGTACATATATATGCAGTATATGTTTGTTCAGTATTACACTACATATGGTGTATATATATATATGGGAAATATGTTATGTGTGTGTGCAAATACACACATATATACACCCTGTGTGTTTGTTTTGAGAGTGCTGCAAAATACACAAACAGAGACCATGAAAATTTGTGGATGAATGCAGAAACTGACTACGTTCTGAAGTTTGAAATTTCTCTTAGTTTAGGTCAACACCTGGCAAAATAAGTTAAAGGATATCTGGATTATCAAAAGCAGAAGAGGAAATCATCAACCTTCTACATTAAAAAGATAACAACTAAGTACACGGCTTTTCAAGTCCTGAAGTATTTTGCAGCAATCCAGAATCCAAAAGCAGCATTTATTACCTTGCCAGGTACCTCCCTCACAACAAGGAATCCAGGGATTCTCCTCTGAGACTGCCCTACAGCATAAATTGAAGTCAGAAACCCCCACATTTTGATATTTCACGTAAACATCCAAGGAGATAGAAGATCCCTTCATAATGGATTCACTAAAGAATATGATTCATTATCTCTCCTAGAAGAGAGATTTGCTACAAAGTTAGATGAAATGCCTACACAGAGCAACTTCAGTCGTTTAAACAAGAACCTATGTGCAAACTACAGGCATTCTATAGATGGTAATCTGAAAAGTGGAGAGGTAAATCAGAGGGATTGCTGGACAAAAAGAGGAGTAGATGTAATACAGTTGAAGTTCTTTGATTTTAGCCAGCACATCAAAGCCATTGAGTATGCCTGTATCTGTATGGTAGACAGTAAACTAATTTATATTTTTCTAACTAAAATTATACTGAAACTCTAAGAGAGATAAGCACAACTGTTACCAGAACCATCCTCATGAAGGAAATCTATGCAGTACTCAATTTCTATAAACTTCAGCTACAGTGTACCTGGAACAACTGGATTAACAGCGCATTTCTCATTAAAACTTCCAGAAATATTTAAAAATGCAACATTTCTTCAGGAAAACAACCTTACGTGAGTCTCCAAAATCAATGCAAAACAGTGTTGCCATACAACTGTTGCAGAAAAAAAGCATGATCTATTTACCCAACAACAGTACATTCTGCAAGGTACAGATTTTCTTTGGAAGTTTTCTTACATAGACATGGATTCAGCTGAGGCTTGGTTAAGTTTACTCTTAAAAGTTTACATTTGTTTAAAGGAGTTTACCTCTAGAAGCCATGGTTTTAGTTTTCTGTCCAGCAGAATATCAAATCCCAGGACTTCAAAGCAGACGCTGTCACTTCCTGGTGCTTGCCCTGGCCTGCACATGCGATAAGCATGAAGAACGTGTGGCTCTGCAACTATGAGAGTCTTCACTACTAACTCCTGTAGGGATTTTTTTTCAGAAAAATTTATCAGGAGAGATGACACCAGGATATAGCAAACTTACATATTTCATTCTTTTATAGATACTTTAGTAGAATGTAGAAGATTTTTAATACTAAATAAATGTTCATACTGAATAACAGACACTTTCAATAGCTGTAAAAAACATTACTATACTTTCCATAGTACATAGTTCTTTTTAAGATAGACAGTAGTCTAAATGCTAAAGTTACATTAAGGTTAAGGCATAGCATAGCCAACCTTTACTTATTTTATTTCATGACATAGCTTCCAATAAATATTCTCAAAATCATATTTACAGATAGTGCCTAAGCTGTAACAATCTCAGTCGTATTCCTCACCTAAAGATGTCTGTAACACATCCACTGATCTGAATGGTGCAGGTTCCAATCTGCTGATGTATGCAATGCTGAATACAGTTTTGTAAATATTCTCACATAAAATTCACTTAATATGCTAGAAAAGCACATTTGAGAACTGTCTGTATGCATGGTACTATTTACATGAATAACTGGAAGGACTTATGTCCCTCAGACAGAAGAAGTCCAACATTAACTTTATAATAAAATTCTTAAGCTTAGCCATTTTAATCTTCATTTACAGCATGTCATTTGTGGTGTGTAGAGTTAGAGTTAATAATATTTCAGAAATAATGATGGATTCTGAGTAAAGTGATTGCAGAAGCAATAAAATTTCTAAGAATGATCATTAAGGAAAATGTAGAAAAGTATATTAATTTCATCTTACTGAAATATCATTCCAGAATTTGGAGACATCAAGATTATTTGTTTCTAGAAACTCAGTAAACCATTTGATAGAGCGTTTACTTCCTTTGTCTTCTGTTTCATCCCGTTCAAAGTGTTCATTATGTTTATTCACAGAGTAGTTGGTCAGATGCATATACAGTTGGCTCTAAAAAAATGGAGAAAAGAAAAAAGAAAATTTAAGTATAATTCTAGAATGACCAATTATAAAAAATTAAAAGAAAAGGTTAAATCAATAATGACATAGTCTAATAGTTCATATTTGCAAATATATTATGTGCAGGTTTAGTGTTTCTGGTTGTTGGAGATTTCACATACTGAATGTTGTAGCCTTGTTATATAACCTGGGTTCATATTTAAGCCAGTTGCAATAGTAGTAGATGTGCTAATCAACATCTGGTTAGATAGTATACCTGCCATTTTTACAGGTGTGTATGTAAAAAACTCCATAGAAATGTGGAAAGCTACTGTCATAACTTACAGAAAAATTACACTCTACAAGAAGCAAACAACAAAGATGGTACTTTGAAGTGCTAAAAAACACTCTGACATCTGTTTCATAGACAATCCCACATTTCAGTTTTCACTGTAGTTTATTTATGAGAAATGTTCTCATTATAGCAATACTTTAAAATATCTTCTACATATAAATTCATCTGTCATGTTGCTATCTGCCAGAACTGCTCATTTTTGAGTGGCTGGTAGCCATAGATTAGAGGGAGATAAATTTCAAAATATATATTACATAAATAAGTAAGTGTTTCTTTATGTAAGAAAATATAAACAACAATCGATTCATGCTACATTAAAAAGAAACAAAGCCTTTAAATCACAATTTATCAATCATTATTTATATATTTGCATCTCTTCCACTACAAGTATTTGCATCTCTTCCACTACAAGTATTAACTCAGCTTTCCACATACACTATCATGATGACAGTCCACAGAGACTGTTGTCTGTCATATTTCATTCCTTGTTCAAGTGATAGTTGATGTTATAAGCTGGCCATAAGCTTTCTGTTCCAATTCCTTTTTGATCAGACAGACAATAGACAACACAAACCTTCTGCTGTCATTTATCTCACTACACATACATTTAAGAAAAATGAACGAAATTAAAAAAAAAAAAAACACAATTTAATTGCAGGCTAGTTAACAATAACACTACAAGCAATGAATTTCTCACATGGCTTACAATTACGGCTTTGAGAATGATTCTGAAGCCTGTTATGGTTTTGAGTATTCTTTCTACATGATTAAATTATTTCAGAAAATTAAATTATTTCAGAAGATTAAAAAAAAATACAAAAACAAAAACCCACCCTGAAAGTGTTTTTGGAACATGAGTTTAACACATAAACTAATCTTTAGTCTGAATTCATCTGGAACAGTGTCACTATGGAACAATGTCATTAGCAGCAAGCCAGGTTATTTCATACAATAGACAGGCATGAACAGTTGCAAGATCACAGAGAAAAGTGTCTGTTCTGCTCTGTTTATCGACTCAGAGCATATTTCAGTGCTGATAACACTGAGATTAGTAACAATAAAAACCATTAAAAGCAAGCTGTTCCAAATATAGTACTGGAACTTTTCCAATTGCACCATTTCTCCTGGGATACAGATTGTACCTGCATTCTTCAAAAGAACACTATTTTAAGTGACAAGTAGAGTTAATGGCTCACCATACACTTTCTATTGTATAATTACACTGAAGCAGCTCTAAAAATACATTGCTCTAGAAAAGGAAAGATAAAGAAGCAATGGAGTACAGAGTGACATATAAGAAATTTAAATCCACTGATGCCTGGATGCATCAAATCCAAGTCTTTTCTTTATTGCCATCTGTACTTAGGTCTGTGCCAGAAGAGAAGGGTTGCACTTCTCAACAGCACAGGATTAAAGCATGCTTTTTAGCGTGTCCTTTACCATTCTCTTGGTTCTCTGCAAAGTTATAGGCAGCTTTGCTGCATCATCTAAAATTAACAAATATATTGGGTAAACATTAAATGGGTGATATAATTCCATGCTTCTTTCCCTGCAGAAGAAGCAGTCACTTACAAATGTCAACAGATTCTCTGATGTTCAGGGATTTTAGTGACCTCTCTCATGCCATGGTCTTCACATCTCTGGTTGTTTGTTTTTTTTTCCTATTTCCTGAATAGGTTCCTAAAACAATGTCTGAAACCTTGCAGGATCAGGAGAAGCTCTACACTTCAGGGACATTAAAAACAATCTAACAGGGTAAGGCCTAACTTCCCCTGCATCCCCTAAACTCAGTTTCAGACAAATATGAAAACAGCGTAACTTGTTGGAGTTACTTTCTTTACTTCATTTGTTCTAAGTTGAATGTTAATAATTGACTTCTTTTGTTTGCTTTCAGGAAAAATTTAAACTCTAGCCTATACACAAGTCAGAAGATTGTTTTTTATACATAAGCAATATATTCTCTATGAAAGTCACAAGTATAGAAATTAGTTAAATACTTCTTTTCTCTTCAGTGACAATCTAAAAATTCTGCCACATGAATATCAAATGAAAATTTTGTCACCATTTTATTCTTTCTCCACCAAACATGACACGGATGAAATTCTACATATATATGCAATAAATTGTAATGAGCATCAACTTACCAAATTTGAGTCACTGGGAGGATGATACTTTTCTGTGCCCATTCTCACCAGTCCATCATGATACAAAAATACTTTTAATGGATCACAGGAGGTTACAAGAATATATACACGCAAATCAAACTTGTAGCCTTCCATAAGAAATGGTTTGTCAAGATATTCCTGAACAATCAAGTGATCCTGAGCTTGTAACTTTTCTCCATTTCTTATTAAAGAGATCCTAGATTAAAAAAAAAAAAAAGTTATTTTTAAAATGTAGGACTTAGACAAAGCTCTTTGAAATACGTTACTATTGTCAGTCAGGTAGTCAGATTAAATAGTACGTGGAGAAAGACCTTACAGAGTTGTTTTGTAGGGTATAGAAAAAGTATTGTTTACTTAGATGGCTTTTAGTTCCCTGCCTTGTAGCTGGTACCTGAGTTATTTTGGGTTGTTTTGGTTTGTTTGTATATTTTTTCTGTAAACTGCAGAAGCCAGAAGAACCTGAACAAGCTTAAAAAGTCATCCCATGTAAACCAAATGAGGTTCAACAAGGCCTAAGTGCAAGTGTTGTACTTTGATTAAAAAAAGAAAAAGTATAATAATTGATTCCCTCTAGACTTACAAACAGTTTGGCAGAATGCACTATCTCTAGTTTCCACCATTTTTCTTCCCCATATTTTCCACGAAATACCTGTTACTTTTCATCTTTGTCCTTATCAAGAGGAATGAAAACGTAGGAAAAACACTATACTATACAGTATAATCCAAGCTGATATTAAAGCAATAAAATCTGAAATTGAAATAGGTAAAAATAAGAACAGAGTTAAGAATTAATTGAGATATTTAATCTCATCTCATTTTTCTCTGTGTATACCTGACGCAGGCAGAACAGTTTCAACTCAGCTGCAGGTCACAGTCTTTTCAGGGGCGTCCCTCTTCTGGCATATCTCACATCCTTCCAAAACTGTGCCTCCCACAGTGTCTCCTCAATTTCTCCTCCACCTTGAGGCTGCTGCTCTTAAATACTTTTGTGTCACAGTTTTGGCATGCATTAGGGTACTTGGAATGTTTTCAGAGCTATGGAAGATCCTGATTGTCTTCCACGCAAACAGCCTGACAGCTACTGAAACCCTGCCTTTTGTGCCCAGTACAATCTCACTCTCTAAGTTAAAGCACAATAGATTAAAATATATATTGCTTGGACAATTTCACAATTAAAAAAAAAATCTTGATCTTAAGAATTACATGATCATTATCAGAAAATGTATTCCTAAATTAAGCCACATTCGGAACAACATGAAAATACCACTTCCATTTATTTTTATATTCTAGCTGTTTCTTGCTGTTAAGCATTTGTCCAATAGATGACCTTTTTATACTGATAGACAACTAATGAACAACAAACTTCTTACTGATAAACAGCTTCAATTAACAATGTAAATAGCACTAGATTTTATTTTTTCTGGATAAGAAGACTGAAGTCAACATGCAACTTACCCATGCCCCATTGCACCATTAGCTGGCTTAACTATAAAAGTTTTCTGTCTACGTTTCTTCTTCAGTTCTTTTACATAGTTCTGAAACTGTGTGTATTCTGCAGGGAAAATCCATGTTCGAGGAATAAAAGTATACTCCTGAGGCTGGCACTTGATCATTCTGCAAAAAAGTGCAGTTGAGTTGAAAAATTTTTAACTACTTTGATGGACACAAGCCTTCTGATTAAATAGTATTTACAGTAATCTGACAAGGAAATTTTATTGGCAAAATATTGTAAAAAGAAGGAAAGAAAGAAAACGTATGCCAGAGAACTTTATTTTTCTAGAACGTACACTTTAGGAACAACAAAAGCAAAATCTTGTTCATTTTTCTTATCAATGTATTGCATTTGCTTATCTTACTGGCATTCCTCTCATTCCTTGACACACATTTAACATTTAGTTTTTGTTCATTTACACTTTCAAAAGAAAGCAAAGAAATATAAGGTAACACAAGAAAAAAAATAAGAAGAACAAAGTAAAACAAAACTAAAGTTATGAAATGGGAACAAGTTCATAAACTGACTCTGGTTAAAGGATGCAGCAAGGACCAGATCTCTCTGCTTTAATAGCTGGGGCAGCTGAGGTGTGAGCATGTCTGACTTCATACATCTACTGTCTGAATGCAAAGAGAGATTGAAGAGGAAGAACAGAAGAGAATTCAGTTAGAATCACAGAATCATGAGGGTTGGAAGGGACCTCTGGAGATTGTCTAGTCCAACCCTCCAGCTAAAGCATGTTCCCTAGAGCAGGTTGCACAGGAAAGCATCCAGGTGGGTCTTGAATATCTCCAGGGAAGGAGACTCCACAAACTATCTGGGCAGTTTGTTCCAGTGCAGAAGCTTAGCAGAAACTTCCATCACCCAAAGCTGTATTGCTAGCAGATAGAAAGCTCATATACCCACACCAGGTTGGCAGTGCTGGCTAGGTACATACTGGTAGCAGCCAAGTTTAACAAGCAATGTAGACTAAGTAGTACTATGTTGACTAGCATACCACAGTTGTCAGCAGGATAAATTTAATCTTAGTTGAGTTAAATACTGAAGCAGTTGGCATGTTTCAGGTACTCAGGACTCCTGAAACTTCATATGTAGTTTTCTGCTTTCCACGAAGTCAGCTTAGTGGACAACGGTCTGGAGCATTTAGGGTGGACACATCAAAAAATACAAATAACCACAGATCACTTGTTTTTAAGCATGCAGCTTTCAGCTGAATTGACAAAGCAAACTGCCCAGACTTCAGTTTTTTAAAACGGCACTATGGTGAATTTTAATATCTTTTAATTAGTTCCAGACTTAGCTACACTTATTCTTTTGTAATGGAAGCTAATAGGATAACTTAAATGTAAAGGAGACTTACCAATATCATTTCAGAATTTCATTTCTGCTCTGAACCTACACAATCCTCATACAGTATAAAGCACTTTTTCTTCAAGTGATTCAAATACTAACAGAAGAAACAGAACAGCCAACTGCATCTGTAAGACTAGGACTGTAGCCAAGCCCTACTGGTATAATAGATAGACTGTCACCAACTTGTTCAGCCAACTACCCAACAAAAGCTCAGCAGGAACCACAACAGTTAAAGTAGCCTTGAAGTACTGCAGGAGACTCAGTGCTCCTGCAGCTTCAATGTAACAATCATTTTTTAAAATCTAATCTGATGACAGCCAATGAATGTTCAGAATAAAATAAAATAATATTATAATCATTCATGCATACTTAAAACTAATTAGTTTTTATATACTATTATATTATATATTCTTGTATTAAATATATTATATATTATTATATTTAGGGAAAAAGCAACTTCTGCATCCATTCACATTTCTCACCAAATTACTTATCATGCACATCCTGAAGTTACATGACAGAAACTTGCTATTTATATTCTATATTCATAGAATTCAATATTAAAAGTATATAACAAGATGGTATCATAGATTATTTTCTGACTGCAATTACATCAGCTCTGTGCCTTTTTTTTTTTTTTTTTTTTTTTTAATCTTATGCATAACTGAGTAGACTACAAACACTTCATAATATGAAGCTGAATACTTATCACTGTTTACAAGTTCTGGTGCACACTGAAATCTTTGACAGAAAAATTCAGCTCTGTTCTTTCCTGCCTGGCCCTATTCACAAATGGTATAGGAACATCAAGCAGCTTCCTAAACAAAGATCTATCCCTTTACAATAGCTCTATTTGCTTCCATTATCTACTACTGTTGGTAACCATTTCTTCACTGTGCTATTCTGTCCATTAGTCTTGCAGTCCCTACTGGCACTGAGATCTGAGAATTAAAAAGCAAGTATTGTTCTTTTGAGTGCTGTTTAACTCATTGGTCAGACCTTGCTCTTGTTTCTCCAAGTGCATTCTGTGCAAAAGGATCAAAGGTGTTTTGTACAAAATGTAGGTTACTGAAGTAACTTATCAATCAAATAACACAGGTTCCACTGACTATGTTTCAAGATCTCCTGACTTTTCAAGTATAAAAGAAAGTTAGTAGGGAATGAGAAAGTCCTTTGTTCACAATCAATTCACAAGCCATTTAAATGTAAACAGGTAAACAACAAAGGTGTTGCATAAAAAGTCATCTCATGCATAGCTCTATTCCCTTGCCCATTCCACCTGTACGCCTTTTGCCATACTTATTGTTTGACCTGTTTGATTGGCACACTGATCACTCACATGAGGAGACTGCATCTGAGACCATTTATAGAAAACAAGATTTAGTTTTAGTTTAGTAAAATGCCACCTTCTATTTTTTTTTCCTCCACTCTGATTATTCTGCTTGAAAATTACTCTCATGCCTTCTTTTGTTCTCAGTGTCATTTCTGCTGCTACTGGTTAATTTCTTCTACATTCCTATACTCTCCCTGCTAGGAAATAGGTAAGAATTACATATATATTACACTTGCTACATATTACACTATTTCCCTTCCACCTTTCTGCATATGGAAACAAAATAGTCCTCTGATGAAGAAAGATTTAGTATCACTGTCGGTATATAATTTTATTCTAAATCTTTTCATTCTCACTTTCTTCTTTATGTTGTTTGCTTACTTCTCCCAAGAAATGCATGTAGAGATAAGTAAGTTCTGGACATTTGTGGATTCTCTTTGAAGAAAATGAAAAACTCATTTCTAATATATGCAATTTCCACCTTCAGCATCTTTAAAATGCTTCAAACTCTGAATTCGGTAGGTTGAGAGAGGCATAATGAGATTGTATTAGAAAACAACATGTGCATGATAACATCAACCTGTTGCTCATTTTGAACATTTGTTTTAAACCACAGAAGTGTGGCAATATACAAGGATAGTGCTGCCTTTCAAACTAATCAAAATTGCTCCATTGCTTCAAAGAAGTCTCCAAATAGCTGCTTGTTATCAGTCTTCTATCTCCATGCTCTTACTTAGAATTAAGTCTGGAAGGGGCAGTGAGAAGTTCCTGAGCAGCAGATACTTATGGACCAGAACAAGGAGATCCTGGTCCATAAGCAGGATTTGTAGGCACCATAGCAATGCACATACTATTTGTGTACATTCTACATGTGATACGTAGGATTTACAAAGCAGAAAAGGAAAGAGAGGACACGAAAGAGTGAACAGATTACATTAAATACATTAATAAATGCAAGTAAAGGCAAATGTAGTATAGGTAAAATTTGGGCCCAAAAGATGAACTTTTTAAAACTGTTTAAACTAATTTAGGTTAGAAGGATCAAAATATTCACACACATCTCTCTCTAGACTCTTCCTTATTACTAAGCTGATGAATCATCATTTACTATTGTTTTCTCACAGGTCTTACTCACAGATTTTAAGCTAATATAATTCTCATTTATTTCACTAAAGGAAGGGAAATGTATAAACAAGACAAATCAGCTTATTTGATTTATTTCTTACATTAACAATAAAACACTTCACATTTTTAATGTGAAATATACAAAAATATAATCATGGGTTATTTTAAAAACAAGTAATGTCTATTCACATACTTGTCATTTATACTTTTCTAGCATTACATGAACTATTTCTGGGTCTACTATACATTACATGTATTACATAATAATTTCAAACTGCTTCAGGCATTCTGCAGCAGTAGACACAAAACTGAACCAAATAATTTTCCACTCAGGTGGAAAGATAAAAAGTCAGAAAGATAAAATATAGCCCAGACAGATACTACAGGGCCATGGCCAAAAGCCAAAGGAACTTTGAAGATTATTCTTGGTCCTCTCGGAGCCTCTTCTCAAAGATAATCAAACCTTGCAATAATTCAGCATTTTACTGCATTAAATCACTGAAAAAAACTTCTTAGTACTAAAAGAAAGCTTACTTAGTCATGTTTCTTGCCAGAAAATCCTTTCTGCAGATCTCTCCCATTCCTGGAAAATGGTTGATTCTCTGAGGAAGGAGTAAGAAGAGAAAGTAAATTGATACTTTTTAGCTTTTCTGGTAAAACCAATACCAATAATCATTTAAAACATTCAACTCCATGCTCAGGCAAATGTAATCACTATTACATCTAAATCATTCAAGAGAACGTATCTTCTGTTAACTGTGACCATTCATAATGTCTCATGGGCAGACAAAAGCATGAAAGAATAGCTCCAAATATTTAAACACCAGATTCCAAATGGTATGAACAAATAACTATGGAAAAGGGAATAAATTCTTCAAAATATATAATGGTGTAGCCTTGTTACAGTCTGCCTAACATTGTTTTGCTGTTGTGGTTTTTTTATTCTCTATATACACGCAACTGACCAAAAGGTATTACTGAAGGACTCCAAGTGAAGCAGTTTACTGAAACGTGTCAGAAGTACAAACTATGGCTCTACCTGATAGTTCCGAAGTTCAGCAATCTTTTCCTGTTGCACAGCAGAATCACTCCAAATGAGATTAGCTGTTTCATCTTCATCACGTGTTTTCACAAATCCCATTTCTTGTATTACAATGCGTACTGCAGAGAAATCACATAGTTAAGGAATATTTTTACTATCTAAAACACATTAATTTTCAAAACTTGAAAAAATAATCAAGATTTTGAACATATGCAACACTCAACCCTTTGTTTAAGAACAATATTAGAACGCAAGGTCTTATTTAACTTGAAATATTTCCACTAGTTTACTTCAAAACTGTAATTACAGCATTACAGGACTTTGTACTAGTGCTTAAATCAGAGGGCAATCACTGTGGGGAACCACAAATAAACTTCAAGTTATTCCACAATGATCTAGTAAAGGTCCACTAGAACAGCTTTTAGATTTAATCTTGACCATCATATATGTTAATTTTAAAACTATGATGAGTATAAGCATCACTGCAGAAGGGACAAGGCCTCTTTAGTCAAGAATACTGCAGTTACAAAAACATATGCACACATTATAGGAAGATAAAAAAGAGGAAATCTGTCTGTGCCAGGCATAACACAGGTTCTAAAATAGAAGATTTTTCTGAAAAACTTACAAACAAAGCAATTTAAGAGAGATATTTTCTGCCTTAAGTTATTAATTCTGCTACCCATATAACTAGTTTATTCTGACACCACCTCCCTACAGAAGGCACATCTCTGGATTTCACATTATCCCCACCTGGTAAAAAATCAGCAAGTCTATTTGAGTGTACTGTGAGTTTGGAATTCGAAAGTTTGTCATTATTAGTTCAACTTGAACCTGAGAGAAATTCTCCATTGGCTTTCAGCCTAGATAGTTCATTTTGAAGCTTCACAGATGCCACTGAAAGTCTCTGAAATAATTATTAGGCTTGCAGTCTCTGAAAAATTTGTTGAAATATTTACACAGTTGAAAAGAAATAAGGCTAGAGGAAGCGTTGTTCTTTAGTCACTAATAACTGTACTTTTGAGAAGGATAAACTACACATCTTCACTCTTCGCCATTAAGGTTTTTTGGGCTTGGGTTTTTGTGTGTGTGTGTGTAGGGGTTTTTTTGTTTTGGTTTGTTTGGGGTTTTTTTCTTTGTTTGTTTTGTTGTGTGGTTTTTTTTTTTTTGTTTTTTTTTTTGACAGCTATCAGAACAAACTCATTGTGCATATATTTAGTGTTATTATTTGCTCTTAATCAAGAATCAACATTAGTGCTGCCTCCCAGATTCTCTTTTGCTATTGCACCAAAATACAATGCTGTTCCCACAAACACACTATTTAAAAGCCTGAGGCCGAATTACAATATTCTAGTACTCCACATTTTTTCTTTCACAGGAGAATGCAAACTATAAATGTAATGTGATAGTAGCCCCAAGCATTAAAATGTAAAACTTTATTAGATTTTAATTGAGAAACCTCTATATAATAAGGGTATTCAACATTTAATTTACACCGTTCATCTCCTAAGGCTTTAAGTATACCTTCAAACACATACCTGATTCATAATTAAGATGTTTTTTTCCACAGACACCTTGATTAATTAGATTTTTTTTTTCACTTCAAGGCCTTTCCATGAGTAATAGATGTACATTGTTCAAAATCATCAACACAATGTTACAAAAAAAGAACTAAGGTTTCTTAGAAAACAAAATCCTTTGGATGTGACTCACTGTCAGTCTGCAAAGTCCATTAATTCACCCCATTAGTTAGCAATTCACTCACATCAGTGGCTATTATGATGAAAACAAGATATGTAGCATCCTACCAATTTCATATTTTGTGCCAGCAACATTTGCAGTGATGACTCCATTCTTCTTCTTTCTGACTTTTCTTTTAATTGTGCTTTGATAGGGTAGTTCCGATTGCAAAGTCACAGCAGCAGTTCCATGGTTATCTTTGAAAAATAATGTTTTAACTATCAACATAACATTCATGTCTTAAATAATGTATACAAATGAACTAAAATCACAATACCATCAAGTAGCATCTAAGCTAGTCAGTTATAGCCTCACTGCATCTTACAGGTACAAGCCAAGAGAAATAGTTAATAGACTATATAAAAAATATAAGACCTGCATACCTCCGTCATTAGGCAAGGATGGCATTATAATCTAAGACACGCTGAAGCAGAGCCCAAATTATGTTCCAGGTTCTCAGAAAATGATGGAGTTGTCGAAGTGATGGGATTTTAACGCTCTATTTGTACCATTTCAGTCTCTGGCTGTTGCAAATATTAATTCTGGAATGGAGAATTATTTGTTTTAAAAATTACAAGAAATTTTGTTGTAGATAAATCCTAAAAACAAACAAACAAACAAAAACTATGGAACTGTGCCTAATAAGTCAAAAGTACCACTTCAGGGATAAAGCAAGTTATTGTAGATGTAAAACTTTAATGCAGTTCAATCATTTTGTTTCAGAGAAAAATAATTTTGCAGTATTAATTTACAAAACAAGATTATGCTATCTCATTGTCTTATTTTCATTTATGTGCAAAAGACTGGGGAGTGAAAACAGGCAATATTGAACTCAACTGAGACTGCACATTTCTGACTCTTCAAATCCCAGTGAATTTATAGGAATTTAAAACCATACTTAAATTAACATATCGAAATCAGACACCATGCATTATGCATTTTAAGATATTAAAAGGAAAATAATTGAAATTATTTTAATAACCTTTTTCCACCTTCTCTTTTATCAGCATTTTTAGAAATGATTGTTCAGTAATCACTCTGTAATACACGACCACAGTTTCAAAATACTTCATGACACAACTGATGAAATTTAAAAGACAGTTTGGGTTGCCAAGAATCTGAACAGTCAGTTTCTAAATCATTTGTATGAAATGCTATTTTTCATGTCTATTGCTAAAAACCATTCACATTTTTTTTAATCTCAGAATACACTTGAACATGTGAAAACTCCACATACATGAGAACAACAAGCTAAAACATTAGAAAAACACTCAGGAGAGAAATGCTGGTCTAAACATACAGTTGCATGACTTTGGCTAAAGTTCCTTATCCAAGCTTTAGATGAGTTCATACGGCTGCATGCGGTATTTGCAAAACTTACTTAAAATAACTTTGTACAGAGCATGAGGACTTTCTTCAGCTATATATAGCAAAAATTGCAGTAAAAAAGTCAAGTTTAGCCATGACTTGTGGTGTGAAACAAATTTTTTTTGTAAGTTTGGGCAAGATGTACATTGGCAAAATTATCACAGCATTAGCATGTACAGTATGTATATTTATCAGGGAGAAAGAGAGAATAATTATTCTATCCCAGACAAGTCACATTTATGGTAAGAAATTGTAAAAACAGGTAGATTGAGCTGCAAGATCTTTCTTCATTTCAAGAGAGAAGCTATCCTTAAAAGCTCTCTAATGCAATGGATCATGATGTTCTTTTATGATTTCTGATTGAAAGAAAACAAAAACATCACCCTCATGTCTGTTCAGAGTTGTGCAAATTAACTCTGAAACCTTTATCCAACAGGTAATAACAGGCAGAGCCTTAGAGGTAGATAAAGTGACACTGAGAACAAACTGAACCAAAACTGGCAGATCATTTTGAGGTTTTAATGTTTCGGACATCCTCAGCTGAAAAGGTGCCCTGAAAGCTCTCCTGCTAAAATTAGATACAAAGACAGTGAAATGAAGCACGTGTCCTCTTTACCAGCACAGCTAAGGAAAAGCAGTACTGGACACAGTGACTCACTGGATACTGCATGTTATCTGTTTCTCAAGCTAAGAATACCACCAGAGTACAAGACATGTTTAGTTTCTGGGAATAACACTTAAGTATGTCTGTTTGCCAGTTAAGGACTTGTATGGATATATACAGATTCCTAGCAGTTGTTTCACAGCTGTACTGGCTAAAAACTTTCAAGTTTGGAAAAAAATGTCAAAATGACTAATATTTCCCTGTTAGAAATAGCAGCCTTTACAAATATACCACGATTTACAAGTTATCATATAGCAGTAAAAATCAAGCAGCTTGCAGAGCTGATGCAACAGAGAAAAATATCTGTCCAGAGTTTCTATAAAGCCACGATACTCTGAAAGTAGTCCATAAAGCTCAAATCTATACTACGTTGTCGGCTTTCTCTTTTTCTTTTTATATTCTACTGTTTAGAGTAGAATGCTTTTCAGATTATTTAATAGGGACCACAAACACCCTGGCATGAATATTTTATCTACAGACTCAGTGTTCAACACTTCAATAGAAACTCTCAGCTCCCATCCTTACTGACTACCAGCCAACCAACTTGTTGGCACACATCCACAACTGGATAGTAAAGATTTATGGTGACCTTTGGAGTACTCTGAGGACAATTAGTTAGGCCATATGTAAAAGAAAGTCACTCGATTGAGTAATTCTCAGAAAAACCTCTGCAAACTGATCTTTGAAGAAGCTCTTCTCTTGACAGGACTATGGAATAGATAATTTTAATCATCACAGCTGAATTATGCACTCCTCTAATAGATGTCAAATCTTCTTTCAGAGACGCTGAAAAAACCATGAAAGCAAAGGCCAGCGAAACAAGGAGGTCCTTCCTTGAGGTCAGGTACTCTTACTAGAGAGTAACAATGTTGCACTGACACAGAGACCAAGACAGATGCTTCAGTCCATCAAAGGGAACAGTTTCAAGACAATGCACAAAAGTAACAGGACAAAAGTAATAGTAACAGAGGCTAGGAAGACGCCTGGGTGCAGAGTCGGTTACAGAGGGAAAAGCAGGTTTTATAACAAATGGAATACTGCTTGTTTCCTTGGTTGCAAGTTGTAATTCGCTGTAGGGAGGGAAAAAAAAAAAGAAAAAAGAAAAAAAAAAAAAAGCTCTTTTTTGCTATTACAAAAATAAAGTTTATCAGAAGTAGTTATTATGCTCCCCGAAAGATTTTCTTCTGGTCTAGATTACATAAAAGCATTTTTGAACAAACCATTCTTTCATTTCCCAAGTTATTTGTTCCACGGTGCTTCCACATGACCTCTGCCTTTCATGATCCTTCACTTTCAGTCCTGATGCAGTATGGAAATGAAAAGGTTATTTTTCCAACACTAAATAGTATCTTGCACGTCATCAAGCCCTTTTTTCCCCAAAGACCAAGCATCCCAGAAAACGTTTGACTTAATCAGATCAAAATAGAGACTGGGGGAATATCAAATTCAAACTTAAAATAAGACAGTGCAACTTGAGAATCTATTCCAAAGAGCACTCAAAATCAGTGAGATCCTCCAAGGAAATGAGGATCCCATCAGTAACTATTTAACCAATACTGTGTACCCAAATAAAAAGGGGCTAGTTTGCATATGTACATTTAAAATAGATGTAGTTTAATAGATTTAAGCACTAAGAATGATAGAATCATTTACTAACAAATCACTCCATGTTTGGTAACCAGTTTGAAAAGCCACAAGGCCATGCACGTACCTAGCTTTACACACATGAACTGAAACCTTGACCTCAGAGCTCAAGCTGTGGTATGTATGACAATAGCTTTCAAAGACAACAGGCTTTCTCAAGTTTCTCACTTTTTTCTGTATTTACTGAGGTGATGCACTACAAAAATAGGATTGCCAGTTTTATTTGAATTAACTGGACTCCCTGTGTAAAGATAAGTAATTACTCACCAACAGTTGAATATTTTAATATAGATTTTGAAACTATCAGACTGCTTTCATCTGAGTCCATTAGTGCAGTTTACTCAGTGTTGTCAAAAGCATCTGGAAATGCACAGTAGTTCAGAAGAAATCCCCAAAGCTCCTGAAATGAGGAGTCTTCACCTTGCAATGGAGATGCATTTCAGATGCAATTACACCACTTGGCAGATGATCACAGATATGAAAGGGCAAAGCATAGCACTGCCCTTCTTACTCCCCAGTTACATGAAAAATAGAAATAATGAAAATTTCACAGAAACACAAAAAGAAGTAAGAGAAAGCAGATTGCTGAGCATAAACCGAGCAAATATCAGAGTTTGGTATTTTCAGTGTGACCTAAATAACTAAGATTTTTTGCTCCCTTACATCTGTGTTCATCATAGTAGTGAAGGGTTTTCCTACTTATTACATGCTTGCTTCAAGATGGTGCTGTTGGCTTAGTAGGAAATTGGCCTCAAGTTCAGGGACACACAGCATTTCTAGAGACCTGTCTGTTTCAAGAGCCACACCTTAGCCCCACACAAAGTCTGTCCCATTACATCTCCCATGTTCCAGGCCCACAGACCATCAAGCTATTTCAGCACACCTGAAGGCAGTCTTCAATCACACACGGCCCACAAATACTCTGACAAACTGTCACAAAAGAATGTTTAACAACAAGGAGGATACTCCCACAGCAGCTTGAAATATAAATTAGTTGACATTTCCCTGCAACATTTCCCAGCACCTAATGTGAAAATGCTAAACAAAAATCAAGACTTGAATATGTTACCAAGTGTACTCACAAGAGACATCTATTCAAAGCTCTCTTTGGCCATGAAAGTACAAGAAAGATACTCTTACATGATCACTGACTTGTTTACCATATTATATCATCACTTCCTACTATTCAATTTGCTCAGCTTCACTGGGAGTACCAAGGTGCCTGTATGAGGACTGGTAGCTGATCTCCTGTATTATAATGAACATGATCTGTTTTGGCCAAGAACCTCACTGAGATAACTGCAACAGCACTCAGTGGCAGTAATACTTTTCAAACTGCTGATAAACAAGTGAGAAACTCCAGAAGCTACAAAGCACTAGGCAAAAACAAGCTTTCCTCCCCACAGATTAGTATTTGGGCCTTAATGTGGTACTTTATTTAAAATATAAGATTTAAAAATATTTTTACAAATGAAAAAAAGATAAATTTAGCAATTGGGAATGGATGCGAACCTGCAAAAGCCTCTCTAACTGCAACTGACCTGATTTATAAAAACTGCTTTAAAGGCAGAATTGGCTACAAACCCCACAGTTTTCTACTGTAATTCATTGAAGGGGATCTAAATAGAATTCCTGTCCTCATCAATAATGAGATCCCACTCCAATATCCTATTATAGGAATGTTTTATGTCTGTATTGCTTACCTACAGAGGAATACAGCAAGCACTCAGAAAGTCTAGAATAACATGCCTTAAATTTTGCACATAAGGTGAATACTTGGAATGACCAAAACAAACAAGAAAAATGATGTACCACACACTTCCCACACACTAGCTTTAATTTTTCCCAAAAGCCAATAATAATTAG